GTGTGTACCAGACAATTAAAAGCAGTAACCAGTTCAATACGAATGAGTTGAAGACACCGTCACTCATGGGTCTAGACTAACTCTAGACGATTCTGGTCTGATTTTCAAGCCCTTATTAAAATAATCGGTTAATCCGTAAATTAAATCGCCATTTTGACGAATATGGGTCCTCTGACTTGGATGTTTAAACTGAGCCACAAAGTCGACGGCTTACAGCTAAGTCGCAGGTGTAAAATGATGTAATTTTTCCATTCATTCTTCAATATAACCTGAAGACTTTGATGAGATAAGCAATAATAAAGGGAGAAACGATGGATCGTTTGATAGGACCTTTGGTGATGGGCATCAATACGGTATGATTACCGAACTTCAAAAACACATTATTGCTGGTTTTAATCACTTTGGGTGTTGCATTTTCATAAAAAAGTGCCTTGAATGGAAATCAGGGAAAAACTTGGGATTATGCCTGTTTAAACATGTCTGAGGTAGTGAATTAGTTCCTGTTTCTTCACACAGACAAAGGAAGCTGCAGAATGGTGAAAGGGAGCAGGTACCTGGATTATATGAGAACATCAGCCATAATCGGCATAAAGCATCGGAAAAAATATCGATTTTCGCGCATTAATAATCCTACAGGAAACTATTTCAATTTGAAAACCATCCTTGAGATGCAAAATGTCCTACCGGTGAACAAAGTGCTGCTCCTCAAGGTACTGACAACCTCTAGCGATGTCGCGCATGATTTTCACCAGGTCGGGAATGCTAAGCATTGCATGGAGTTCCACGGCAGTGGATCCGCTGCACACACTTTCACCCGTCGTGGCAACTGTAGTTTCAGTCTGTCGACTGGACCTGTCGCTGCGCGCAGTGTGCTCCTGTCGTGAGAAGCGCTCGGCCTGTGACTGCGTCAGTCTGGGTCTGGCTCTGTGCAGGTACTCGCGTAGATTGCCCTGCTCCATCATCTCCAGCACGAGGCATTGGTGATTCGGCGAGTCCATTGAGATGCCGTAAAACTTAACGATGTTCTCGTGTTGATAGCGCTGCATCAGGGCAGCCTCACGCTTGAATTCTGCCTCTGTCAAGGACTTTACATTGCGAACCTAGGTGGAAACAGCATACGTAACCACTGAAACAATGTCTGCGTTTTAAAAGTATGCCCAAAATTAAGTTGGACTAGCAAATTTACCCCACTGGAATGTAGGCATTTTGTCCCTGAATGGGGGGATGGGATGTCGAAGCTTCATTTGTAACAATGAATGGTGTCTTCGTGGGATCACTTGTGTACGTATACACTGTTTGATTGATCCAGCATCCCTCTTTTTCAACGCAACCTCTGTGGATGAATCACTGCAACCTCTCATATTTATATATTCACCAATATTTTCCCCAAGTCAGGTGTTGCTTCATAACTGCTGTTTGATTAGGCACTTAACCACTGCTACCATGTTAAATGGCTTTTTTGCCTGCAATAACCACTAACCCTACGCAAAGAGCAAATAAGTATTTCCTCAGAGATATCAGTTATTTGGGGAAATTATTAACGTGCGCATGATTGCGTTTGGTGTCTAATAGGTGGAACACACGGCATGATTCATAATTCACTACCCCTATCAAGAAACGGGGAGGATAACGAGAGAGAAGGAAAGGCGTATAATAAGCAGAACACAATTGTTCTTTGTTGCATCGTCCTTCTATGTCATCCACCCACCAGATTATCTGAGTTGATCATTGCAGAGTGATTTCCTTTGGCTACTTGATAACAGATATACCACAAGAGGTTCAGAATGGACATTCATTGAATAGGCCCCACAGAACCAGTTTTCGGATTGCAACCTAAGAAATGTTCTCTCTTCTACAAAATGGGCTGAAATTCGTGAATTAAAATAAAGCTTTATCGCTGCCCGAAAACCGAAGTGACAGGAGGTTGATGGTTGAGCATGGCTGAAGGGGCCGCTTGTAAGATTCGTATGAGGCAGCACCTTTAATATATCGTTTGTGATGAGCCGTATTGATTTATGTCCATTCTCCGACAAGGTCTGCCTTTTAGCCTGCACCCTACTCGCCATCCGCTTTACTCATTTGGCCATTCAGTCATTTGCACTTTTGCGAGTTCACCCAAGTTGCGTGGGTGAGCAATCCCATTGGTCAAGCGCAGCTTTGAGTGCATGCGCACGACACAACTGGATTTAGATATCTCTCATCCTCTTAGGATTCTTCGTGTTGTATACTGCCGCAACATCTTCTAATGCCACGATTTTCGCATGCAAAGTATCTATCAATGTCGTCTTTTAGTTTTCAACCTTATCACACCTACAGAGGACCAATCACTTAAAATTTGTTGATTTTGCTAGTTGTCCTTCTTAACTCGTTAACACTGTCTTCAAATTCAACCTAGGAACATAGCTAAAGGAACGTGTTGAATCAAAACGATTACTGGAATAAAATCCTCTAGGTAATATATTAATATTCGAAGGAGATTAAAACCCAGATGTATTTAAGGTTTTGACGAGGCGTCACTGACTTTTAGATTGCCCAGTGGTGGCCTCATATTTGTGAGATTTGCCATTATAAATTCAAATGATTCGACCCGGTTACGTGCCTAGATATATCACAATACCGATCACTTTCAGATTTAACCATACAAGCAGCTTGATGAACATCGTGGATGCAAATTGAGTGTCCTGGTTCTCCTAATTTTACCAAATATCCCTGGATCTTAATTGACTTGAAGATGTTTTTGGAAGGCGAATCACCTGACGCCTTGTAAAACTAGATTGTCAATGCCCGCATTATGATGGACTTTCAAGACACGTGTTTATTTTCATTAATTTGGTGACAATTTGAAAGAGCCGTATCAACACCGACATCGATTCTGTTACCAAATCCGTCCTGCAAAACCACCGCAACTTGTTTAAATTGTTGGCGGTTTCAAGAAACTGCTGAGGGTCCGACACCCCGACCTACAAGAACAGGCAACCCATCTTTTGTGATTTCCCATGTTGCCTCGCCAGACAACATATATTAACTAACAAGAGCACAATGTTTCCTGAACCCCTAACAGCCAAATGAAATGCTAACGTGTTTTAGTTTAACAATACCATTGTTCAATTCTCTGCCCCTTGTCTGCAGGTTCATAGAAGACGCACCAATTTGGCTCCACTCAGGGAGAAAGATGGCAACTGCGCTGGTGGTTGTGGGGGCGTCTGACTAGCTGAACACAGGTGTTACTGCAGGCGAATACTTCGATGCAAGGGAAGACCACAAGGGGCGGTGGAGGAAACGGCGCATCAAAACGAAAACTTTGGCGTTCTTTGCGTGAATCAGTGATTCCAGGACACGTCTTGCGAATGATGTAGACTTGTATAGGAAAGCACCAGCAGTTTGGAACTACCCTCTCTAATCTGTCGCAAATTTGAGACGCAAAATCTACTTATTCTAGTGAAAGTGACAGTACACGCGAGTAAATTTGGAAACTGACCTATTGTGACTGCACGATTAGAGTGAAAAGTGGTACTGGTGTTCGATTGGACAATGGGTAGCATACCAGAGTCCTTTATAGAAAAGGAAATTAGTAAGTCATACCGATTTCTCTGGTCTAGCGGCATTAAATTTGACGAAATGAAGGTGGTGTGGAAATGCAAGAAATGATAGCTTGCATTCCATTGGGCATCCAGTTCACAGGTTTGACTTTACTTCCATTTGAATGAATTCAGACCAATGAAAAATCAGCAGTGGATTTCATGCCTAGATTGCAAGGGTCTGATGGTTAAGTTGTGCTCACCACCAGAGCACAGTGGTTCCCGTTCGGATACTACACGAAACCATCATGTGTGTTGTGCCGTTTCTAGAGTGGATCGTTGTAGGGGATCCACGATACCCCAAGATTGCTAGTCGTTGGTTTTTGGCACTATTTACACCAATTCCATTACATGTGTTTTATTACGCTTTTTATCAGGTCAGGTCAACCTTGACTTGAATTAGTTTCACTTTTGACAACCCATTCCACACGTGGCTGGCGTGATTAAAGCTCTCTACACGAGCTCTGGCCTTTTTCTTATATTGGCATGGGAAGGTCGGTGCTAGCGTCAACAAGGGATCTGGTACCGTTATTTGAGTGGTTTTCTCTTTGTTACGGTCAATTGTAACAGTCGTAATTTAACCACCACCATCACCGCATGACCTGTACTAATACAGTATTTAGATCTGAGCAAATGCCATTTCCGAGCATAACTTATGCAATTGGAATTCCTATTGCCTGGCCAAATGGCTATGGAATAGAGAGTTTTACCGTTTGGAAATATCAGGGAATTGCGGTAATGCCAGGTGTAAGATAGAAATGCCCAAACAATAATTAACGCCCCACCCTGCGTCAAAGGTTGCAGTTGTTTTTTTACTTGGATACCCGGCGCCTTTTGCGCCACGAGGTCTTGACAGTAAATGGCTCGGTTACAAGAACGCGCAAAATTGGTTCTGGATTGTAGGTCTAGTATATTTTGCGCTGTCACCATAACTAACCTTTACGTTTGCAAATATTTCGTTGGAAGGAGAGCAATTTTCGCCATTTTCAAGGACGTTTGTTGCTACTAACATGAGTTGCTCTAAGTAATGTAAGAGTAATGTTTGTTGGTTTGTTCAAAAGAATGGAGAGCCTGTGGACAATTAAGCAAGCCAGTGCAACCCTAAAATCAATCCGAAAAGTGAATGTAAGGAAATTGGTCATCAACACAATCAAGCCGTTCCAGCCTGCCTAGTTTGGTACCTCATTTAAGGCACAAGCAAGCTACCACGAAAAAATTGCAGAGGTGAAGTTCTACAAGTGCATGAATTTCCCGACACATGTTTGGATATTCGCCAAATGATGCGCTAGGGTAGAATATGCTGCCCTAAAATCTTGTGAATATTAACTGCTTATTATAATTTACCAAATCGTGACCTCGGATACAAGGATCTGTAAGCTTTCGAACAACTGGGTTTGATAGAGGGTTTTTTTTCAACAAGAATATGAAATTTTAATTGAACGTTTCACGAAGAGAGATCAAGTGGTGGGACAGTGAGTCCAACGTTGTGTGGTTGCTGCTAATTGTTGAACACATGGAATTGGCTGGCTTTATAAATATACCCCGGCATATGTTTGGGATGGATTTAAGGACAGACAATTTGTCAAAAACTACCAAACCACCTTCCTATCAATCAAGTACATCACTAGTTTTGCCAAACCTGCCGCAGAATCATTGTATGTTGAGAAAAATTTGAGAAGAAATGGGATATAAATCAGACAGCCACTTATTTGAGGAGCCTGTAACGAACACTGCTGCCAAGCACGTCCTTAATGTAACAATAAATCTCTTGATCTCTGAGCTACTTACACCTTCTTCAATTCTGGTCAGGCGTTGTCTGACGCAGGTCGTTTGGTCCCTGTGTGATTCTCAAACTGCAGTTTGCGTGGTTTTGGGCTAGTAAAGTGTTATCCAGGATTAACACGTACATAACGGAAATTACGAATTAGTCACCTTGAGAGCTACTCGCTCGAATCGGTCGTCTTCACCAGTGGACTCCGCCTGGACACGAAGCCGCCCCTCCCACACCTTCCCGAAGGCCCCGCAGCCGATGTACCTGAGGAAACGAAGCTGGGAAGCAGGAATTAGCATAGACGTGTAGAGGGGTTCGTTAGTCTCGCCGGAGATGACTGCTGCGGCACCGTAGAGTGAGTTAACTTCCTGGCTCCATCCCGGTTCAAATGTTGACAAGAATTCAAATGGAGGCCCACTTAAACTAGTTGTCTTGGTGGCAGCCAGACTGTTATCCTGGAGCGATCCGTTGAATAGTCGTACGTGTCCCCCTCGATCGCGGTTGAAATTGATCAGGAAAGACCGCTTGTGCTCCTTGGAGGAACTATGACGACCTACATGAGTTAAAGCGAGTGAGCAAACTGATTGGACCGTCGTATGCAATCGAGTTATTCATTCTTTAAATCAGACTTAATGAAACTTCAAATTCAATAATAACTTCGAGGTGTCAAGTTTACAAATCGTTTAATTTCTGAATCTTCAGAAACCTCCCTCCCAAATAAAGTGGTTCGGCGCGTTAAAATTTAAATAATTGCCTAGGTTTGGTCAGCCTAGTTGCGATTTTAATGGCATTATTATGAATGTGGGATTAGTTTTTTGGTGCTGTTCCCAAGCTCCCAGCCTGATGTTACGGAAGGAATTAAAACGTAAACGACTAATCGTGACTGCTGTAGGTCGAAAATGTGTGGAAATCACTAAAGTCCAACCGATTTAATTGCATCATCAAGGATTTTGCATTTGAAAGCCATACAGAGTTTGCATCATTAACAGATAAAAAAGTATTATTGAAGTTTTATTGTTGAATAAAAGACCACAACCTCGTGCAAAGTTGACCGGCGACTTAGCATGGAGCAAGCTTATTTAAACAGTTACAGAGACCTCTGACATATCAAGCCAACAATTACCATTATCTGACAAGTTTCGGTAATCGTGAATAAAATTGGACCTAACAAATAAATTGTCTTCCGTCTTGAAGGTCTTCTCACTTAGTCTCCCAGCTGCAGTCTGAAGGCGTTTAACACTAACTTGTTTCCACTTGGTATAAGTGGTAATTAACAGACCCACGTAGGACCAATGCTCTGGACAATTTGTCATTAGTTTGTACTTTCGCCACGGAAGTACGTGACCGAAAACAAGCGGAAAGCCATACAGGCAGACAAATTGGCAAAGACGCAAGTAGCAATCCGACTGGTGCTTGTACCGTGTCCGATCCAAAAGTATTTCCGCGTTAAATCGTTGTTCCGTCTGAAAAACACCGTGTGTCTCCAGACTTGCATTTTTGCAGCACTCCTTCCCTAGGCCTGCTGACAGAAATTCCTAAGTGCTTTTATTGTTGTTCCTCTAGCTTCGCCCATAACTTAACGGCAATTGGGTAGAGGATTTAAACAGTGCTGATTTTGCCTCCGAGGAGTGTGCAAAATTCTCTGTTTAGGTTTGATCCACGGCAGAATGCTGCACAAGCCAAAATGTTCATTGTTTTCACGTAACCGAGGAAACAACACCTGCGGGCCAAATTAATATGGAAGCATTGTGCTTTCTGTTGCTTTGATATTCTAGAGCTTTAAATTAAACCCTATGACGCGAGCAGATTAGCAAAATTGATACGGTCATATTTCTGCAGAGTAAATCACTACCAAATATAATCTGCCTACGTCACCAGCAGTTGAAGCAGTATATCAAAAACCAGTTTAAATGCCTTTGCTTGTTCCACAATAACGATTCGACTCTTTTATGCTGTTGATGATGGAACACAACTGTGCAATGTAGCATAGGTGTAGACGCCCTTCAGGTGTGTTCAAGTAATTACACTGTCCGTCGAAGGATTAAGACTGAAGGCGAGGGATAACGGCAATGGAAAACAAGGTAGCACACGGAAAAGTTCATTTTTATGGCCGTGGCCATATTATCTGCTTCCCGCGCCAAGTGTTTACCGCCACAGCACATGACAAATGGTGTCTGCACAACGAATACCACTAGGGGAGTTAACATGAAAGAACAGGTAGCACGTGGGAGAGTAGTAACCACAACAAACCGATCACATCAAACATTTAATGCCGTCGGCTATGTGTATCACAAATCTCTGCGCAAGTTCGCCCCATTTATTTAACCTAGACACAATGTCCACGTGGTTTTGTGTCTACAAATCCACGTTAACCGGTGTGAACTTCCAGCGTGCTATAATACAACCTTTTATAGTTCCGTTTTAACCACCGTTTAGTCCCATTTTTACTCAGTCCCTGAGTCTATTCCCCTTTGAAGGTGCAAAATCTGGTTTTCAAAGTATCAAAATTCTTTTCCAAGGAAACAGTGACCTGTAAAGTTAGAATCGGTCATTAGGAACGCTAGCACCTTACAGGAACACACAATTTTATGCAACCAATCGGCTCGGGGATACAGTTATTCCGCGTTTCAGCAAAGGTGGCATTAGATATGGAGACTATTACAATTTCTGAAGCAGCATAAACAAGCAACGTACGTTTAAATGTAATGAGGGCAATGAGTAGAATCACAAGAAACAGCACTCCAAGGCCGATGGATCCGTAGGTGAACACGTCGGTGGCTTTCCACTTTGCCTCTAAAATGGTGAAATAGGAGGTTTTTCGTGTTAGCTGTCACAGTGTGTGTGCGTGCATGAGTATGTATTTTATGGTTGACCGACGTTCTTCCAGGTTAGCAAGACTGATTTGAAAGAATAACACCATTCCGAGTGTCAGTAAACCAACGTCTTACTCACGACTTCTGTCACCTCAGCTTCACAATCCTCCACAAGTAAACAATGCATTAATTTTTAGAATATGTAGTGAGTAATTTCACGCCTCATTTTAGCCTTATGAACATTCTCTAAATGCAAGTGGATGTATTTAACCGGCGGGGCTAGAAGTGGTGATTTCTTTTGCCTATATACCAGAGCAACACAGACAATAAAAGCACCATTTTTTGACTCAAGATAAAGCTAACGCAATTTTCTTTACAAAACCCGGCACTTCTTTCTATGTTGTTTCATCGGTTGCACTTTAGTTACCAAGGCCATTAACTCAGGCAACGCGCTTCATGATGGTTAGTTTGTCCAGAAATTGTGTGGAAACCTCATAATCTTTGGACACAATGTAGGCTTAATGACTTGAATTTCCTCCGAAGGCTTGTAGAATAGACTCAGAAAGACAATGGTTTGGTTTTAATGCAATTTGTTAAATTCTTCTTTTAGACCTGGCGGCAACTTCAAAAAGGAAGTTTTCCAAAATTTTAAATGGTCCAGTACCGTTTATAAGAATCTAATCAAATATTTTGGTTGTATGTCAAAAAATCTGCATTCATTTAGCACAAATATAATCGGGGATTTTTTGTCAAATCTGGTATCCAAATGAGCATCTGAATAACTTGTCGCTAGCTGACTTCGAAGCCCAAACGGGATGTTGATTTTCCTTTTTGAATCAAACTAACATGTTGAGGAAAAATTCCATTATTTAGCAAATTATTAGATCCCATTAAAACAAAAGTCTGCCAGTGGTTGTTGAGTTTTCCTTTTACACGTGTTAAAAAAAACAAAACAGGAGTCAGAATCATTTCGCATTAATCATTTAACACTTATCGCAGTCATTCTTTGAGATAGTGTATTGTTAAGTTTACAAGGCGTGTTAACGCGGCGTTGTGGCAGAATACCACTAAGATTGCCCCAATTTTTCCATGTGGAGTTATTTGCATCGCGAAGTGAAAAGGCTTTACCAAAGTGACAAGTTTTGGAAACCCACGCATTCGAAAATGTAAACATCAGATTTTAGCAAGTCCTCTGCCCACAGTTGACACTTTCATTGGCAGAAGCAAATTAAAACAGGGCTATAAGCATGGCATTTAAATGGAATTCCAGCAACGTTTATCCTGAAAACACTTAACATGCTCTTTAAACAAGTGCTTCTAGTCTAGCTAATTCACCAAAGATTCTTCAATCTGAAGTGCCCTTAAGAGGACCTCTTTAGGGCAGTCCATCTCAGTGAAAAAGAAAGCATTAGACCACTTGGTCACCTTTTGCTCACTAATGGTGAACTTGCATGCCTGCAGTCAGCTCAAGATAGTTCGTGAATGTCGCAACCCTGCATTATTATGCATTCTTAAGTCCGACTAGGGAATTCCTGTCAACAACGTTTGTTCAGTTAATAGAATTTGTGAGTTTTCAGGGTATACGAATGCCTTGTTACAAAAATAACATCCCTCTTGCCACAGCAATTGGCGTATTTGCCAGATGGCTGGTCTAAGTGAGATTATTTTTCAACTCGACCCGAACCGATATAGTTTTCCATCTGCACGACAGTCGATATTTCTTACCTGAATGGTAATAGAGGGGCGGCTTGACTAGTCTCGAAACTGTCGCACTTTCTCCCACCGTGCTAACCGCATTCAGTCGCACCTCGGTGGGTATTCGAATAGGCAGGGTCACGTTGGTCCTGTTCTCTGAACCAGGCACCTCTTTCAGATTGATCCAATTAGTAGTCTCCAAATCTGAGGAATTGTAGGCCCTTTTAAGAGAGAAACAGCAGTCGAGCGTTCACATTGTGGTGGTTGTTATGATCTACTTGAGCATCTGTTTGTAAGTACCTTGTCTGGTAATTTTTTTGCAACTAAAGTACCCATTTGTAATAACACAACTACCTTTCATACCAGTTACTTTAAGAAAATATCACCATTAGTCATGCGAGTAAATTAGCGGCACAAATTTCCCAATTTCCTCACACAACCCACGCATTTTCAACAGCCTTGGTGATTGCTGTTGTCAAGATGAATTGAGTTGACTGGTCGGCTGTATTCCCGCCTCCTTAAACCGTGATTCTTGACTTGTAGTTGCTGCATAGCGCCCCCAATGTCTGTTTCTTGTCTCTGTGTTCCACGTTTCGACGCCCACAGGCCTGACTCACGTGTCTAACTTTGTCTACCCTTTTAACTAAATTGACGTGTCTTCATTCACTTTGGCTATATTTTGGGGTTTCGTGGAAAGTCGGTGTTGACACAGACGTGAATCTCAGCAATTTGGATCTAGTCATCTGCGACACATGGAAACTGGTGGTGAAGCATGATTATCATTAGTCAGTGGCGTGATTACGCGGTTGCGAAAATGAAACACATCAGGTTTTCTGTACGAGTGGCAACGAATTTGGAACATGTTTCTTTAGCTGATATTTTACTGAGGGCAAACAATTTAATCACAGCCAAAAAATTAAATCTACTAATACAGGGTAATTAGTGAATTTATGATTTCGTATTGGTAAAACACTTCTGCACACGTTGAATGGATTCTTGATCGCAAATTATAAGTGAAAATATTCAATTGCTTAGGTCTTAAACACCACGAACTGAATTTGAAATATGATGCTGAAAATGAAAGTTCGGTGGACAAGGTAGTCAGACATGTTTAAACTTACATGTTTTATGAACTTCCGTAGGCGTAGCATAGTCTCAGTTTGAGCAACGACTGTGAGATGTGTTTAAAAATTAAACTGAGTGCTCTTCACGAACTATCGCAAGATAAGCGGTTATCCAGCACACCACAGACTGGATTTGACCACTCATACTCCCCAACAATGGACCTGTTTTCCACTTGGGTTGTTTATGAAAGCAGCGCTCTTCATGAATGTATCGTCAAGAATTTGATGGTTTAGCAAAACCACCAACTATGACCGGTTACTGCATCGTTGGTTAAAAATAGGGTCGTGAAGCATTTCTGGTATATTTTGGATGACCTTGAGTTCGCTTTTCCCGCCCTTCATAAGACCCTGGTTTATGTTTGTCCTGCCCAATCAGCATTTTCCACATTCGTGGGTTTTAAAAGGAAAGTGATTGTCGCTTCCTAACAAGGATTTCAAACAATCAACTGCAGCGTGGAGGCATGACGCGAAATTACGACAACTTTGACAAAATTAAATTGGCTGCCTTTTCCCACTGTTTCGCAACTATCGCCTCGCCTCGTTCGAAACCCTGAAAATAGCCGTTTCCGCTTCATTGTTCAATTGGTAACACACCGTTTGATCCAAAATAATGTCAGCAGTGGTGGGGGCTTTTAATCCAGACACCGTTTAAGACGTCAATGGCGTCAAGTGAGTAGGCACAACATAGCGTGCTCAGAAAATATCTTCTTGTTGAAAAAATACGAGCTTTTCAGTCCTACCCCGGGGTGTTATTAAATCCTAGCTTACTTTACCCGAAACTGTTGTTTGTGAGAGCATTGATTAGTGTCTCACCCCAATCTGCTTTTGAGTCAGGATCTGGTACGAAATTTTTATCGTCACTTTAAGCATCTACTCATTTCAAATTCAATCTATCACTACATGAGATGGCCCATAACCACCAGGAACGAGGTTCAGCCATCCTTAATAATACTATCACCCCGCCAACCCCATTTCACCTGGATCTTCTTCCTCCTATCGATGGCGTCAAAACACCACTTAGTGCTTTCTGAGGCGGACCTTTTACAATATCCGGTGAAATTGATAAAAACGACAGCGCAGATTGCTTGAAGATTGCTCTCACGACATCAACGAGGTTTTAACTCTTTCTCAGCAGAGGAGGGTTCTAACCTGCAAGGAGGCCTCCACGACTTCCACTCTAGATTGTTGGCCTGCATATAAATCCCCTTGCCTAATGACCTTTAACTATGCCCGTGACTTCTAATGCGGCCGTAACTTTTAGCAATAAATCCACTGAAGTACATCTGAGATCCTGTCAGAAGTGGGCACAAGATGACTTGCTATAATTCACCCTATCCAGTATGGCTTAGCAATTATCCCACTTTCTCTTGCTATGCTTTCTATTCACACTTGCGAGGCAAGTTCATTAATGACGATGGAAGCCAGTCATTTCCACCAAAATGCCATCTAGGTGCAAAATAAAACCACAAATCGTTGATTAAACCATGTGCTTTTGCCCAGGTACTTACAAAGTGGAATAACCACTGCAAAATATCAGACGTCAGTGTCTGTTAGAAGGACATTGCATTATTCATTATATTAAAAGCATCATTATTACAAGCGAAAACTGACTGGGACCAACAATCTGCGATAGGGTCATCTATCTTGATCTACCTCAATTAAGGTCACAGTCCCCTAAGGCAGTCAAGGCTCTTCACACTCAGCTCAGTGTTAAGTGCCCAGCTCATCGATCTCAGATCGCCCAGGCATATACAAGTGGGCACGTCTGAGCATCCAGACAACTTCCGTTTTGGTCCCACCTTGTACTCGACCCTGTGATTCAGACACTAGAGCCCTCCACACAACCTCAAGTATTCGTTTATTCTGGGAAGTCTTCGACGTGCCAAACAAGGGGTTCCAAGCATTATCTCGGGGAGTTTCATTAACACACGGAGAAAAACGCAACACGAGGACATCTCCTGCTTTCTGTGCAAGAAACAAGATTTGCGTATTTGGCTCTCTGAGCCTGTGTTTTTTATTACCGGCAAATCGTAACACTGATTTCGCACTTTAGCGATTCCTGTACCCTACCCCTTATATTAACTAGGACACACGATTTACGGAAGGGGAACGGAGGTATTTGTCCGGACACAGCCGTTTCCCCTTCCTCGCACAATCATTCAACACGCATTCCTGTTTGATAGATGTTTTTGCCAGAAATCAGTTCTTAGAATGTGGACTGACCAATCCGAGTCTAAGTTGGGTAAATTTGTAGAACAAATTACCCAAGAGTCGCATTCCACATTGTAATAATGTGGGTCGCTGGAATTGCTATTAATGAAAATATTTGGAACTAATGTTGTTTTCCGATAAGTGGCGATAACCCAACTTACTTCAGTTGGAGAGGTCTGCATTCCACGAACCTCATTGATGACATTATTAAACCATTTATCAAAACGTGTCCTTTTTCACAGAGACTACGCGGGAAAAAGTGGCATTAACGGTAATTGCGCTAGCATTTCTCCATTACCCTGACACGCGATCTGCTCCTGGAATGTAAAGGGACTTCGTGTTGCAATTTTAACCGGCAGGCGACTGGAAATATGGAAATTTGCCCATTATTGTTTAGCTGTCCTCTGTTATTCGTTTTTAATAGTTAATTTCTGTTTTTCGTTGGTTAAGCAGGCTCGGCAGCTAACTGCAACGTGATATAATAGCTGCAGTGGAGATTGCGCCACAAAAACCATTCAGTTTAGTTTTGAATGAAAACCCATCTATTTGAATGGTAGTCATTGTTTGTTCGGCACTGTTTCATGGTTTTGTGTGAGAAGTGTCAAAACAATTTAATGTCACGTATTTGACATTTAACCAAATCTATGTCTTCTGGAACTGCTGAGACCTGACTGCAATCTGTTAGGTCACTTGTCATCCCGCATTCGGTATGTCGTTTCTGTTGTCGTGACTAATTCATAGTCAGTCATTTAGTTGTCTTAGCCCCACACGGACTAAATTAGACCGACCATATTCTGGACAAGTCTAAATTCCGATAACCGGTTGAAGCTGAGATGTGGCAATATCGAACAGCTGAAGACGTATAGAACCTGTGGTGTCAGATGCTGTGGCGGGAATTGAATGAGCCTCTCTCATTGATAGTGCCAATGTCTACGGGATCTGCCTGTTCACGAATTCTATCGACAATCCAAGTTTCCTGAGGTTTGGGAGTATTTTGTTACAATGATCCTTCGTGGTTACGACAAGAACGCAACATTGGTACCTTATGTTGCACATTCCTGTTTGGTGTTGATTACAGGCTGGCCAATTGTGCGCAATTACTGCTTCTGACTCTACATTTTCTTCCTGCAATTCAACGGTCCGATAAGTGCTGGGTATAGTAGTGCAGGGTGTCATGATAACGTACCCTTTACATGTCGGTCAAATGTGTTTTAAAGCTTGATATATAAACATAAGGTGTCTATGTATGTTTATTTGATAATTAAGAGACCCCAGTCTAAGAATGGTGCTGGTGTGTGCGTTGGTTGAATCATATAATCGCCGTCTTACAAGGGTTTTGTAAGCAAATTAGAACTTTGAAGCTAACCAATCGTGACAGTTTAAGCTCCACAAGTAAATCTCCTGATTTTTCACACATTTTATTGCGATATTGAGGATTCAAGTCTAGCGCCTCTCGCTTATTCCCAAAATTTCCTTGATAGTTAATCTGTGAAAAATTTCCTTGTAAACTTCACACACACAATAACTGTAGGAATGTTTGGTCACTACTGATCACAGTTCATAACAAAAAGTGATGTTTATTAGTAAATTCTACGCCTAGAACTAAAAAAAACTGTTACTAGAGTTCGTTTGCAGTGAAGTCAAAATTTCTCATATGGTTTAAAAAAACCTTGTAAAATGTTTGAAAAAGCCTTACGTTTTTACTGAACGCAAAAGCACACGTGATCCCAGTAAGGCTTTAACCATCAGAGGCATTTTCGCATTTTGACAGGTGCTGTAACTATTGTCGCAGGCAGATCAGCTTAAGTGTTTCTAAATTTCAACGTTTAAAATGCAAAGTAGTGACACCGAAAGGGTATGGTGCTATGAAGGAAAGGCCCTTCTAAATGCTATCTGAATCATATTTCAAAAAGAGGACGCTTTGACTGGCAGATTATAAAAAAAAGATCGAATTGACATTGTGTCATCATTTGTCGTGGTTAATCCACGCACCTCTGCTCATGCGAGTGATCAATTTTCACCCTGCGAATCCGCGTGTAGTTGACGATCAAAGCTCAAGCGAATCTTTCCTGCCTAATTGCGATTGAACTTTTGTGGGAGTTTTTTCGTTGTCCACTATAGTGTTATCGAACTGTACGATTGTGACGTAGCTGCATCTGTTATAAATTTTTAGACTTTGTAATAATGTAGCTACCTGCCAAGGTCTATATAAGATGTACCAGAGAAGTACAGTAGATTAGGCTCTCTTAAGATACCCTAAGCACGCGTGTCTTGAAGTGTGACTCAAAGGTGGCTATAACAGATGTGCACCATAATGCGGGCCATTAACGTACTTGTACTGGAGCTTGAAGAACTCAACTGGGCTGCCATTGTCCTCTCCTGGCGTCCATTCGCAAGTGTAGTCATTCTCATGGAGGTAATGGCAATCAAAGTTGGTCGGGGTTTCTGGTGCGTCGGCTGAAATTGTTGAATAATGGTACGATGCGCGTTACAATACATTTAGCAATATCACAAATAAGTTTGCTTTTAAATGGCCTTTTTCATTACCTTGATACCTATTTCTCCTAGACCTGGCTGAAACTTACAAGTAAATGAGTAAGGTTTGGAGTATTAAGGGCTTAAGTGAAACTGCTCCGGGAGGTTCACTACCCAACCCGCAGTCCATAGTCACCAAATCAGAATCACAATTAAATCTGTTCGTTATAAAACTGTGCAAGAGAGTTTGAATGCATCCCACCCCAACTACTGCCGTAAATTACTGTAATATCCATATTTAAGTTCTAAATACAATGAAAGAAATCCTCTCAATACCATCATTTAGTACTTGCTCTATTTGCATTCCATACGCAATAATAGGGCTTATTTTAAAAAGGAAAGACTATCTGTGATGAAAAAAATTGTCTATACTGTTACCCGTCGAGAGTGGCTACAGCTTCGAATCGTGATGCAGTTTCACAAATCATTCTTAATAATGAACGGGATCATAAAGGATTGTTGTGTTAACTCGAGAGATGCACAAAGGCCTTTTATACCTTAAACTCCTTTTAAAAAACCCAGCAATCAAATCTGATGCTTACTGTCCACAACAGCTGAGAGTAGATTTATACTGAATCAAGGAAAATCGGTTGTAATGTACTAATTGTGATCCACTTAGACAATGCAAGGCCCAGTACACATTTTTGTCAACTCGTGCAAAATTATTGGAGCTTATTTGAGAAGTGTTTTTTTATGCAACTCCGCTTGACCTTGCACCTGAGCAACAGACAATCATTTATTCTAGAAATTCTGAAAAAAAAGCTTTATAAATGGTTGAAGGTTTACTAGTGATGGTGGTGAATACAATGGCTCCTGGATCACTCCATTAATACGGTGAACTAGAAGCCCTATGAGCTCGAAATCGTGAAGGTATCAGAAAAATAGCGGAAAGCCGTCAGACAGAATTGAGTTTTTCATACCACAAAATCAATGCTGCTTTCTTTCCAATCCATCAACTTGGAACAAATCACATTTCAATGCCTTGGCTTTTATTATCGTTTGTTTTCGAATTGCTGTTTCGTGATTTTAAAATTTAATTCCTCTCTGACGTTCGTGCATTCTTTTAGTAACCCAGTACCACTGCCAAACCGGAAAACCCCAACTCCCTGTGGTATTACTCACAACTGCCAAGTCCAGATCATGTTTTTAGTTTTTACCGAAAAAAGACTTGGAGGCAGTAATTCTCTGTGGCGCCAGTTTCCGAATGATTTGCACACTAGTGACCTCTATTGTCTAACATCACGAAGACAGTTAACAATGGAATAATTACTGCAAAATCCCTCTGAAATCGCGATTTTTACAAAGTAAAGACTATAATCTTTGATATAGTCACTACAGCCTATCGTGTGGGCTAATTGACGAAGCCGGCTATGGGCAATTGATTTGGAAGGGATGAATTCCCGACCTCGGTCAAAAAATGGGTCACGATGAGTAACTTACAGGGACTTGTGCAGAGACAACGTGGGAAATCCTCGTTACCGTGCGGCGGGATGGCCACCACACCTTCAGCGGTAAGGTAGTTCAAGCCGAACTCGTAGGCCGTGTTAGGCCGCGTTCCATTGTGGTCATAGTAACGACCTTCAGCCCCGGGTGGTCTGAGTTCATCCACGAATGAGGTGAATCGCGGGCTGCCAACCTGCATAAATTACAGCAAAAGTAACACCAATGGGGAAAGTGACGCAAGCAACTGAGCTTGCTAGTCGATTTAACGATTTTGAGCCCCTTTGATTGTTATGAACTTGTCCTAATGACGTATAATCGCGTCTAAATATAATCTAACGATTCTACCTATTCAGATTGGTCATATTTAGGAGGCGAGATGGGTTAGACATGTGTAATTTTTATCAATAGAGCTGTATTACTATTAAGAGATAAGTAAAAGAAAAGAGGTACGGCCCTAGTGAGGATTTTATTCACATTTTTTTCTCGTTAAATCGTCCATTATGCTGCCTTGGTAAACATCATGCAGCTAGCTAAATGATATCTAAGAATATCAGTCCGATGATTTTATCTGCTGTCCATTTACTTAGAATAATAACAATTGAAGTGTGTCGTATGGAAAATTATTATCCCCCTGTGATTAGTGTATGAAGGGCTTTCCTCAATTGGGGAAAATCACAAATTATGTATTTGCGTTTACATGTATTCCTGCATATCAGTGGCTCATTAGTTCACCAGAAACTGAAATAGATTTAGAGTACCCTAGTGAGGGTTGCTTTTGATGTTTTTCTATTTCTTTCTCACAAAGATCTTTTAAACCACGAACGTTCAGCACAGTCAATTAAAGTTGAAATTATCATGCTTTACGACCCGAATAAACGTTTTTAAAAGCCGTGAACATTCTAGAGATACGAAGCGACAAATGTGCTATATGGTGATTAAATGTGTTTTGGGGTGTGTAATATCAAACTTGTAGCTTTTTGTCTCAAATGAGACACTAGGAAACAAAGAAAATACCGACTGGTAAATTAAGGTAACAAAGTGATCTGAAGAAACCTTTCGGGTTCGTAGAAAAATGGCCATCAATGGACTGAGTACCATATTTGTTTAAAAGCAATTGCGCCATCGGTATGTGTTAACAGCAGATTAATCACAATACACATTTACATGGTGTTAAACTATCTTGATTTGATAATGCTGTCCCTCATTCGAAGTTTAGCAAGACATGACGAATATTGACCTCGAACTCTCAGATCAGCAGGCATCAGAATAAAAACAGATGAGACTTCCAAAGTACTCGCAGTTGATGCTGATCTAGAGACTGCCTCTTTCTAATACGGCAACATATGCGGTGGGATTCAATTACACGCCAATTTACGGACGATTTCACACTCTTTAGTAAAGTGTGACCTGTGATTGAATAGCATTGATTAGCATTCAACGGGAATGACCTCATTTGTTGGTAGTTTCGAGGCGGTAACTAATGCTGCTGCACAAAAAGGTTAGCTCAAAAGTTCCAGTACTTGAGTGCCAGGAGTGTTCTTCTACACAAACCTTGGAAGAAAAAGCCTTACGACGTCCTGACTCTGACAGGTCAAATCCGTACCGTCTTTAAAGGGATTTCATACTTTCACAATTAAGGCATTAACCGCAAATTATAACTTTGCTATCTGCAAATGTGCCATATTGTGGGCATTTAAGTCACAACCAGTCCTGGTTAATCCGAAAACGACAAATTATTTCGAAATTTAAGGGTTTCAACGCAAAAAAAAACAATTGAAATTAATTTCGTCTGCTTGATCTTACGGAATTCCAACGGATTCAATGGTGATTTAGTATTTTAGGCGAACACGAGTTGGTTTAATTTGACCCGAAGGCTTGCAGGATTTATATCAAGCCAAAATAAAAGGAAAAACCTTTGAATAAATGCCATTACACCAGTACGGAGCCTGCCCAACACCACTTAGATTACTATATACATTTTCCTGATTTAACCTTCTATAAATTGACTTTGCACATTAACCCCTGATTAACCGCTAGAGACATCCTTAGTTAGGGTAATAAGATGCAACATTTTAATTGAGTAGTCTGCGTTGCCTTCCTATGTTTTTCGTCGTTTTACTTTCTCCTTCTCCGAGTACAAGCTTTCTCTTCCTCATTCTGCCTCTTTTTCTTCCCTTAATTTTTTCGTGTTGCATTTTTTTCTGTTCCAAGCAGTAAGACGTTGTGTTAGTCACTTCCTGAACAGAGAGCAAATGGACAGGTGGAGAAGCTTGTCTGTAGCGAAGCGAGCAAATTGCCAAGCAAATTAGACTGGGGTTTGTGCCAGCAAGTCATTACTTTGGCGCAGCAGCCATCCTGGTTCATGCGTCAGTCAAAATGATGGCGGTTTCTCCGTATGTCAGGGTATTTTTAATGAATTTTAGAAGTCTTTTCCAGTTGTAAATAACAACACAAAAGACCATTCGCTCATTATTTTAACCAAAACAAACTGAACGAATTGTTATTTAGGGAGTAATTTTATCTTAGCCGTTGATGGGAGTGCACAGTGGTTGCATCAGGTTTTAATGGAGCACGATCCAAGAGTCTTCGGTTTTAATTGCGAGAGTTAAAATTGACATTAAGACTAAAGGAGCAAAGGCAGTTCAATTTGAGCTGTGTGAAAATGAGCCAAAATGTTTGATACTTTGAGTTGTCCCTTGACAATTGACTACACCAAGGAAAAACAAATTCAGCTCATTCTAATGCCAAAAAACTGAGAGTTAAACAATCAGAATTCAAAAATTAAGTCAACATTTCGTCATCAAATTGAAAAAAAACACAGAGGTAATGACCCCCACCCTGCCTTTTTATCATAAATAAAAGTTTTTGGGTTTACTTAAGGTGAAGAAAAAGATGGGTTGATAATAATCTGATCCACCATCCAATTAACTTTCGGGGGAGAACCTATGGCAACACCATTCACTACTCTACAAGAAATTGTCTAGCTGTTGGAGCAAACAGGATAGAATTAGGAACTAAATTTGTGTTTACTTAATGATTTTTAAAGCAACAAACACCAAAAGTTCTATGGGCAAAAAACGAGAGTCACGATCTCTCGACAGTAATTAGGAAAAGTGCCATTAGATGGAGGAGTTCAACATAATTTGTATTCACCTAACAAGTTCTTTGCAAATGTAATGGAAAATTTTCAGCATATTTGGCAGAATTGGCCAGTTATTTTGGCTGTTTATGCAAGAAGTTGATTTGTCGCAACTACTACGCAAAGCAATATTGCAAAGGGCCAATTTTGTGCACAGCCTTGAGAAATTTTCCTACAAAGATGGCAGAATCAAGATTGAGAAAAAAAGTCTCCGAACCTCGCGAAACGTCGGCACAACACGGATGAAGTTTCCACTCTCGTTTCTCGGCGGTATCCAGAATACCCGAAGATGTCGATTGCCACAGTGAACCGAGTAGTTTCCAGGAAGCTGTGGACAGGCAACTTTGTGCGGATCTACCTTCACCATGAGGGCGTTGTCGAGGGACAGAATGCCTCCGTATCAGCTGATGCTCGACTTGGTGCAAAACAGGGCAGCTGGCACACTCGACGTTCATTGGCTCTGCGCACGAACGCCCCGCACGCAGGCACACACCTGGACAAGATTGTGTGCGTGTGTGTGTGTGTGTGTGCACACACAACCGTTTGTGCTTTTAAAATTTATGGAATGGGAAAACGAGCCGAAGGGTTGGGTGCGAAATGAGCCGCGGCTGCCAGCCGACCGCAGAAGCCAGACAAACGTGACTGCTAATGCTAATCGCAACTGGTGTTTGCACTTTCCATGTACATTGGATAAGGCTTGGAATTTCTACGACTTAGACCACAAATAATTGGAGCTAGAGTACCGATTATGTACAACATTGGCTCTATACTCAATTTGTTTCTATGGTTAACAGTTCGTCAGGCTTTTGAATCTATTCTCAATAGATGCTTTCTTTCCGGCTTTTGCATGTATATGCACATGCTCTGTTGCCTGACGCACTCCTTCTGTGTACGTATACATGAGAGAGGAAGGAATATTTGACAAGATCTTATAGCAACTTGGAATTAGATAAGAGTGAAAATTTCTTGACTTGCAGAAAATCGTGTTTACGATCACCACGTCCATGCAACACGGACTCAAGATCGCTCACAAATGCTCTTGCCACGCAAGATTGAACGTGAATTTAATCGTTTCTTATGAACACAATTTAACTAGCGAAGCTGAATGTCACGCGCTTCTATTTAAACTAAAATCTTGTACAGCCAAAGAACTGTGCGATTACGATATCACTAAACCGGTTGAGTCCACGCTGTCTACGGTCTTCTTGTCTGACTTGGCCGTGTCTTTATAGGTAGTCCGTCCCAATATTGATCGAGAACCACACCGGGCTTCCACGAAACCATTTATTATTATTATTATTATTATTAAATCCATTCAGCGTGGTTTGCAGACGTAATTTGCTACAGATTGCCATTTTCAGCGTCACTTTTTCTAAGCTTGCCAACTGATGTTGCACACGAAAATGCAGTATTACATGCTACATGAGAGCCCACCCACCCTACGATTAATAAAGCACAAGGAAATTGACTATGTTGTATGCTGCCTATTCGCGTCGTGCTATTTTGAAAAAAAAGATGAGAAACTTTTCCAAACCACAGTCAGGACTATATTTACTTCTTGCTTTTTAACAGCGTAAGGTAGCTGCTTTTTAAGGACACCCATTTTGCAAAAAGACGCCTTACAAACCTGTGAGGAATTTGACAAGTGTGGTAAGTGTGATTATCGGGAAAAACCACAAATTTAATAAGAAAATTGTCAAAAATTTTACAAAAAAATGTTTAAAACTGAAATGTGAGTGCATAACACGATAGTGTGTGGAAAAAGTATTTTTGAGTTTACGACAAGAAGCAAAGGTTTGCAGGAATAACTTTGTAGCGATGCTTTTTAGTATCCTCGTAAGTTATAACATTCGGAGGCCGTCGTAGCTAAAACTATGCAAATTAATATGATGGCGTGATTTTTAAGAAGAATTGAAAAACGTCAGACATACATCAAGATATTAGAATGCTTTCGGAAGTGATGGGATGAACGATACGCAGCTAGACACGTAAGAGCGGGTAAATGAACGTACAATGTTGAAAAGCCCGCTGTAGTCTAAGTTACCTAACCAACCTCTTTTTCAAACATTTATAGCCCATTATTGATGCTATACTAGTAAGTGCCAACGGAGTCAAACACTCTCAGACGTTTTTTTTTCAATTACGGCAAAATCACTTATCCTCATCGTACACAACTAGATGCACTTTTTAAAACTTAGGATCTTAATGAAGGTATGATGAGTAATGCAATCACAATTGTGCAATTTTCATTCGTTGAACTATCTACCTCTTTCGCAATTGGTCTGATCATCCAATTCAATGGATTTTCACAGCTAAATCATCCTCCCTATCACATCCTTTTAGTTAATTACACGATTTAAAATAGGTTTAACAAATTCCACAAAGCAAATGATTTTATATATACCTGAAAGGTAAATGCTATATAGTAGGATTTCGGTCATGGAAAATTTTTACTGGCTTGCATGCAGCATAAAACAATATTGTGCGACCTAAATAAGACGTTACAAATTTAAAAAAATAGCCACATGAAAATTTTGGTTGAATAAATCTGTCTAACCCTAGGTAAGTTTTTGCTAAGAGCACATATTTTTGGGCCAGAAAGTGGAAAACACCAGTCTGCACTACTGGATATTTCCTATTTCAAATACAAGAGGAAAATCTTCCCAGGTTTATTTCTCATCAATTAATAAAGCAGTGATAGGTCTAACTTTTGGCTAAAACGACAGTTTATTAATCACATTGTTTTGTCAACGTTTACCTGAACAAAAATCTTAAAATCAATTTTTTATATGTGCATTCCAAAGTCGAAGCTATGAGTGCATGACATTTTAGTCATTTCTTTTTACTTACTTAATTTTCCTAATGTAAATCAAATGTAATATAAGACGGAACACCATGATGGAACTGTAATTATAGTGAGTACAAATGAAAGTCTTTATTTCTATTCTTGACATTACTGTTTCAAATTACATTTAAGTTTCCTTATTGCTCTTAATAATGTAGTGTCATTGCGCATGTAAGAAGAATCAAGTACTACGAGCTGTAGAAGTAATTTGCAGAAAAATGTAATAGAATTTTCTAGAGGTATTTCTGATGTTTAGGTAGAAATAGAAGGCATATGTTTGTATCCATCATTTCAAATTAAAAAAGTCAATGATATTTACTCAAACAACAAGCACGACTTTTTTCCACAATAACTATATTTTAGAAGACTTCCTAAACGTTTCATAGAACTGCATACACAATTACTTCGTGATATACGTCAATAAGAAACAAGTGTTACCAGGTTGCGGAAGCTCGTAATAGATTCATTATAACTTAGTGTTCGAAAAGTAAAAGCAAGGAAGCAATTAAAGGAGTTGAAAATTTGAACCACCATTGCAAATATGTCACTTTAGTTGAGTCATTATTTTTTTGAAAAAATGATAATGGGGTTCACAACTATGAGCGAAACTCATGCTCAAGCATATCGAAAAGCAGATCAGGATACAAGGTTCTACAATCATAACCTATTCCAATTTTGAGAGGTAAATATAGAGACGTATTTCAATTCGGTTTACTCAACCACAATATTTAAGACCCTTTTGAACTGTTGAATCCGCCTCAGTTAATGCAATAAATACGAAATTCACACAGATAAAAATCTAAATTGGGCATTTTATATAAGCGTAACAAGAATTTGCTTCTGAGGTTAAAAAGCAGTATGGGTCCACTTATGTCTGAGCGAATTATAGTGTACACAGTAATAGGGATATATTAACACTCAGAACTTAAGACAAAACTGAATCACTCAAAGTAGTTTAACTTAAATGATAATGTTAATCAGTTCAGTCGTCGTTATGCAGGTGATTGTGAAGATAGATAGGGAAGGATGAGAAAAACGGAAAGTGCAAATAAGAAAGCAGAATGGGTGGGTAAGCTAATTAACGTTGCAGGGTAAGCCAAAGAGAAAGGGACGTAAATTAACACAAGTGAAAGCGAATCGGTTAAGAGGTTTCTATTCGGTCAGATCTGCAAAAGCAAAGCAAAGCAGTGGAGTTCTAATGGTAAGGTATGATTCGTAGCGCGCGGCACCTATTTATCCTTTTATTATCCCCAACAGCATAAAAAAGATGAAGACTAAAAAATTGCAAAAAATGAGCGGGTTTGCTGTGGATATTTATTAATACTGTACATTTAATAAATATAAGTTACAGTAACAACTTTCACGTATTTTTTATGTTGCGTGAACGTAGATCAATCCCTATAGTTTCGGTTTAAACAAATCAAGTTTTCAGACACACACAGAAAGATTTTCAACAGCCATAATGGTATTTGTATTCAAGCATATGATCAGAGGAAGTATATTTTAAACTTTTATGTTTTGCTGATTAAGATGGTACTCATACTTTAGAAAAAAGGGTCAAAATTTCCTCTAATGCTTTAAAATCTTGTGTGCATTTTTGTGAGCTTGTATAATGGAACAAGCATCGAAGTTATCAAACTAGCTGTGATGACATACAAATTTGTTTAATTAAACTAACGACCCAATAATATTTCGCGGCGCGTCTTCTAGATACACGTAAACTCATCACTGGTCTGTCGGAGGATGCCGCTTGCACCAATTATTGAGCCGTTTCCAGATACAAATAATAATGGCGTATGCTTTTGTTTCAATATTTTGACGATTTTGTTTAGCTTATTTCTATTGACGAGTTCGTGGAGGAGAAATCGGTAATTTTTCTCTTAGACTTTTAAATACATTTTTAGTCATCTGAATACCACGAGACCGAAGTTGATCTTGCATCCCTTAATGTCAGCGAAAACAAAGTTAAACCTTCTGATTTTGAAATTATTTCCGTTATTGGCCAGGGTTCTTTTGGAAAGGTAAAAAATGTGTGCGTGTGTATATATTGGTAGGTCTTTCTTGTAAAGAAAATTAATGGGAAGGACAGCCAAACGGTTTACGCAATGAAAGTACTTAAAAAGGCTGTTCTTAAAGGTATGGATTTGGACTCTAATTGATATTCCGCTTAGTTAAGGACCGAATTCGGTCAAAAATGGAGCGTGATATTTTAGCCAAAATTCAACACCCATTCATTGTCAGCCTAAGTTATGGTTAGTTTCGAAATTCTTATCATTACATGTTTAGCCTTCCAGACTGAAGGAAAGATCTACCTTATTTTGGAATTCGTAAAAGGAGGTGACCTGTTTTCTAGACTTTCTAAAGAGGTAGTTAAAAGTAATCAAAATGATTTTATTCAAATACAGCTGGCTGACATTGCTATATTATTTTAGCTGATGTTTACTGAACAGGATGTTATGTTCTATCTGGCAGAAATAGCCATTGCACTCAACCACCTGCACGAGTTAGGAATAGTTTATCGGGATTTAAAGCCTGAAAAGTAAGTTACGCCTTGGTTTAATGCCTTTTTCCCTGCTCTAAGCTAAATTTTTGTTATGTTCTCTTAGTTTAGGTTGTATGGAATTCTTTTTTGAATGCTATAAAGTATATTGCAGGTTTCCATTTTTATTTTTAATGAACTGATATCTGTGCTTTACGGCTTTAAGAATGCGCTAGTCATACGAATCCTTAAACTCATCATACCCCCCAAATTATAAAAGTACTTTTTGGTTGCAGTTGAGCACACGCATTGTAGTTTTACTCAAATTTAGAAACATGTCCTAAATGAGCAACATCGAGTTCTTCGAAGTTTGTGCAAATCGCGAAGAAAAATATGAATGCGTTTAATTTTTGTTTATTGTCCACCATAAATTGTTCACACACAATTGGCTCATCGTAACAATCCATACTACTCTGATGTGAGGTCAAAGTAGAATAGAATGTTGTGAATAAGTGGGATTTTTCGATTTTCTGACAAATGTTCAATTATGCAGGATGCCGGCAATACTATTTAAATGTTTTGACTATGACCCCTAACTCATGTGTGACATTTGTGTTCTTTTCAATCAATTCTTCGAAAGTAAAATTTAGGTAAATAAAGCCCGATCTCCATAGACTTCGTCAGTGATCCTTAAATGCTAGCTTGAGTTCATTAACCTTAAGTCAAAGAAAAATCAGGGAGGCACATAATCAGTACCTTGATTTAGCACTACAGAAGCCTGTTAGACTGCTCAAATTCATTAATAATGCGTTAACTGGACTGATCATTCAGGATTGTTACACGGTCCTTACAATGCGTTCCAGGAAATGGGCTTCTGAGTACTTCAACCCTATGTAAAGTGCTTTTCAACACTTCTTTAAAGGTCGAGTCACTCGAATTTTGTTTTTTTTCTCCTAGTCTTAACCATCGGCCTCATATTAAGTGAAAAATGTATCACTTTAGCATCTTGTGTGCCATTTTTATTGAGAAGATCATTTATCGTATTTGACTTAAGTTGCATTGTTGACGTTCAGGGGAAGTCAAAGCATAACAAATCAGGAGTTTTCAGTGGTTGGTTGGGATTCGATTAGCATTGACGCAGATCTGACAGTCGTCACGGTTTCCTCCTGGTCCGTGATTTTATTATCGCACTACACTAACTTCAGATCTGCAAATACCCTGCTGCGTAGAATCCCGGCGTCACGTGCGTCTCAATTACTCCTTGCTGAGGTTTTGAGATTCTAATTTGGTGGTATATTGTGGTGGTTTAATTTCGCATTGGTACTTTTGGTCCTTCTATGGTCACCACGTATGAGAAGAGATGCTTGATTCACCTGGAGTGGTAAGAGCGGCAGTTGTGGAATGCCACTCTGGCACCACTTCTGCTAGGCAAGCAAGAAGCCTCAGAGCATGGTTCTTCTTTTTTGGATCGATTGTCTATGCACACACGTCAGCACACGGAGTGTGCATCTAACACACGCATGTCTCTCGCGTGTCATCCAGGCAGATGTCGAGTGCTTAGTGTAAATACATGCGCTGGCGCGTGTTTGTACACCCTTGTCATTTGCGCTGTTTTTTTTAATTACCTCAATTTGTTTTTGATTTCGTGCCTCACGCCTAGCTTTCCCAGTGGTGTCATTAAGCCGACTTAAATTCCCGATAGAAGAGGTCCCAACATTTGCTTAAGAGAGAATCATCAAATTAGGCGCTAATCAACCTGCGCATCGTCTATGTTGTATAGCTGTTTACTTACCACATGACTCACCTCACGCACTTGAGTGGATGTTTTGTCTGGATAACTTGAGCCGACATTTTTTTCATTGGCCCTAAACAACTTTCCACCACTTCGAAACTAGGGTGTTAAAAAGCCGCGATAAAAATAGATGGGCAAGCATAGGAATACCTATCAGTCATTTTTTTGAAATCTATGGCGGAAGATTGTCTCAAATATCTTGCCTGCATGCAACAGACTGCTTTAATGGATTGTTTCATTAATTTTGTACAAAAATGTATTAGACGGGAATAAGCAGGGCGGGTAAGTGATAACTAAGGGTCCCTCAAATGCCACTTTTGTCCCACCTTGTCTCGGGCTATTCTTTTATGTCATTTGTTTAGAAAGTTTTTTCCTGTTTAGATGTAGCTCCTGTTTCCTTTAATGAACAATCTCTGCGAATGTTAGGGCAATGTTTGTGCGTCATACCTCGTGTGCTCTGAATTCGTGTTCTTGCGAGAAAAAGACCCATTACCATCATGGGCTAAGCTGCATGAATTATGACCAATCACATTTGAGTAATCTAAATTGCCACTTTATTGCTTTACTGGCCCCACAGTCGAACGCAGTGTTAAAAGCTCGATTGAAAATAATGCGAAAAGTGCAAAAAAGGATCGCCGGAACTAATGGCTAGTGGTCGCAAGCAGTGGAGAAGCCGATTCTTCTCACTGTAAGCAAATTGCTGGTCCATAAATTGGAATGCCATTAGGAATGACAGGTGCAGTGGATTCTCGTGGTTGAAAACACGTCAAAATGGGTCCCGTTCACAGACAAGGAACGTGTGCATGGTGCATTTTGTTTTTGTTTTGCCAAGTTAGTCTTCGTGTAACCACTTAGCTGTGAAATACATTGTTATTAATTATGTCAGTAGGCACATCTTGTCCACTTCTATGTTGTGCATTCTGCGGCATTGAGGCGTGATTTTTTTAGCGGCAAATGCATTGCCTAATCCTCCTTTATTTGCACTTCAAACAAAGGAAGGTTAGACAAAAGAGGTCAGAGAGTTGCCGCCTTGGCTACTTTAACTCTGTCACCGCCTCCTTCCTAATCGATGTCTAGCCATTTGGGCACTGAGCGAATGATCTCTGTTGTATTTTGCCGTGTTGCTTTTATTTGTCCACAGACGACTGCAATACGAATTAATCGGTGTGTGAAACCCCACTTTGATTATCTGATTTTGCTGCACAGACATTCTAATTAATGTATCTGGGAGAATTTTCAAGAACTCAGCTAATTTTTTTTCTAAAATTGAATGCTTTCACAAGATTAAATTATGTCAGGCTTATGCAGCGTCATTTTCCAGATTCAAGTTGTGGGGCATCTTGGTTTATAGCGGTACCAATTTTGGCTCCTCTTGCTTCACTTACCCATTTTTGATGTTTCTATAATTTTTTTTAAATAAATCGTCTTTGCCCGAGCTTCCTAAAAACGATAATGATTTACTTAGTCAAGAGATAGAAACGTCTATCGGTGTAACCACCCAAATTACAGTATTTTGTTGATGGGTTTTTCGGTCGCTATTTTAGATGTTTTGGTGTGACAGACCCGTTTTCAAAGCTCTTTTGAATCCCAAAAAAGCACTACTGTGTGGCCTTTTGCAGTGGAAGTTTTTTTGCGCATAGTAGGGCTGACCATTGTTGCCGAAAGGGAGCATTACGCCCATATTTGTTGGTAAAGATACCAGACACTTGGTTTTTTGCCTAAAGGTGCACCAGATATGAGAATTTCTTGGTGCGTGAGCGACAAAACCATCAGTAATAGGTTCAACGTGTTGTGTTGTGTGGACCTCCTAAAGAAGCCCACGCACTGCGATACGCGTAATGTGCGGTCACTACGTTCTATGGTAATTAGGTGCTAAACCACACAACACTTGCCAATTTTTTTTGCAAAATAGCCAAGCAGTTTTCCTTCCCCATCCCCAAAGCCATGAAGCTGACTAGTGTAACGAATATGCGGTTATTTCAAGTTATTTTCGTCGCTTCTTGTATGAGTTTAGTGCTTCTGGCGCCGCATAGTCGTAATGATTCTTCGAGGCAAACGTTTGATCTGAAAAAGTTAGACTGAACAGAATTATTTAGCTTACCCACTTCAAAATGCAGCGAATTCAAATCCTTTCTTAGCATTTCGTTAAAATGCTGATTTTCGCTGACTTCCAGGAGGATTTTAAAACCTGACATGCCAAGAATATATTTCATGCGCATACATAGGATCTCATGTAGCTTATGTGTGCTGGCGATTGCTCGATATCACGAGTACTTACCTCAGGTTGATTCGTGACAGAATCCATGCTTGATGTGTTGATGATCACCTGTTTAGAAGTGGAAGGAAGGAAATTGGTTTCCACTACTGCATTTTAATTGGCAATTTCCAGAATGGAGAGTCAATGAGTTGCTTTAAAATCAAAAGAATTTGCCAGTAACTATGATGGATGATGTTTGGATTAGCCTTTCGCGGCAAACGCATCGCATTACTTGCATCTTATTCGCGGTGTATCCCAATTTGAAACCAGTCTGTGATTTTAGCATTTGTACGATTTAAGGGTGTACATAGCACCACCGACATTTACCGTGCTGGTTAGTCGCTAGCCTCTACTTTGGTTTAGTTTACACCGGTTTTAATTTAATGACGCATCGTGTTTTACTCTCTGATTTAGCACACCTTGTATTTTATTTTCCGCCGCGTAATGCAAACCTTGCCTTGTGTGAAGGCTTGGTCTCACGAAATTTCCAAATAACGATTTGGTGATTGTACCGCGCAGACGCAATAATAACGTGGCGTACATAAAACATTCTTTGTAAACAATTGTAAAAATCACATTTGGCGATATGTTTTTGTGGAATATATAATAGTCGTAGGCTTATCTCCTGGGAACAGAAGCTGTCGACCAATCACGTAATGTGGCCAGCAAAGGTATTGTTAAAAAAACTGCGGAGGCTTTGATTTCCATTAATTAAGGTGTCTAATTATGGATTTAGACAAATAAGAAGCTGTACGATGTCTACATGTCATAGTTGAAATCTCGATGTGACAAAAAAATGTGTTTTCTTTTGTAGCATTCTCCTAACCGAAGAAGGTCATATCAAGCTAACCGACTTTGGTCTCTCTAAAGAGGCCCTCAGTGAAGAAGCGGGAGCAAAAGCCTATTCCTTCTGCGGAACAGTTGAGTACATGGCACCTGAGGTCGTGAGTCGTCGGGGCCATGGGCCAGCAGCTGATTGGTGGAGCTTCGGTGTACTTATGTACGAAATGCTCACTGGTTCACTGCCCTTCCGTGGCGAAACCAGAAAAGATACAATGTACCAGATCATGAAGTAAGTCCATGCTCTCCAAAATCGCGTTTTTGCCAGTACATGATGCATTCGCCCCTTCATTTTACAAATACATTTGATCAAAATACAAAACAGGGATGCGGGCGTATCAGACAATCGTGTTACAGCTAGGATTATCGTTCCCATTAAAAGTGTAGGTAAAAGTCAAATCAATCTTCCGTATAGCTAAAAAAACGGAGTCTATTGCCGTGTTCTTCCTCCGAAATTGCTCAAGCAACAGACTGCCGAACATCAGACTACAAGTAGTGCTACTTCTGTTGATAAGAAAATAGGCGGAATAGACCTGAATGACCGTTTACGACTGACAGGGTTTAAATCAAAAGGCTGACACTTTCGTGGATTGAAATACTGTCGCTCGCATGCAATGGGAATACGCCCTTTCTCAAACGGCCCACCGATGGCACTTAGTGCTGGGCTCCGTACATTAGATCTGGTAGATTTCGGTAATGGTCAGTCCTGGGCCAGGCTCTCGGTGAGGTTCTTTGTCGCCATTGATGTTGTCTGGTGGGAATTGACAGGTGTGGTGTACTGCGAGCTATTACCGTCAGTGCATCCTATTGGTTCCACTGAGCACATCCAATAATTACCCTGGCTGAAGGAGGAAGTCGGCAGGACAAGGTTATAGTTAGTCAACGGAAAAGACGTTTTGCTTCACTGCGACAACGCCGGCTCACATGTTTCTATGGAGATAGCGTTGGTCCACTTAACTTGTAACATTTTAGTATGGTATGTTGGTTAGCCCACAGCGTCTGTTTGGGACGTAAGCATCAGTCGTGTGACCACACGAAACTCACCTTTTTGAATGCCTTTTAAATCAGATTAGATTCTTTTCGCTGGTAACTTTTGTCATTCTGTTTCTATTGGCTGCTTGAAATTGGACTGTTTTTTTGGGTCAGTTTAAGTGATTTCAAGAGGTCTTCTACCAGTGTCATTGTTGTCTTGAGTTGTGAATGAGTGTCATGTCACATTATTTGACTCACGTCGTCCACGAAATGAGTAGCAGTGGAACATATCGGGCCCATTCCCTGTACTCTATTTTTTGTATTGTACAAGTAGCGCCATTGTTGCTAGGTTTATCTAATCTGGACGTCAAATCAAAACTTCAACCATCTGTCTTTAGTAAAAAAAAGAACAGCTTGGTTGCCACTTCGGCGTTCATCATCGAGTAACATGCAGCTAATCTCAGGCGCCAACCATTTATTATTCAATTAGAGCATAATCCAATGTTTTGGCTGTCACGCTGCTGATACGTGAGTAAACAGGCACGACAATGGTTTTGACCGATGTGGAGTTATGTTCGCGTAAGGTAAAAGTCAAGCAAAACGACCTTGCAATTTATCAGTTTGCATAAAAGGGCATGTAATGTAAGGTCAGAAGCGATGTTTCCAGACCATATTTGTTGGAACTGCTGAAACCACACACAGGAGCTGCGTCTCGCCAAGGCTCAGTCCCCAAGGAGTTGAGATGACCATGGGTGACAGAGACACGACCGGCCACCAGATGACTCACTCAGTTGTTTTATTTTTACGGGGAAGGTATATGTAGTCGAGCGCTTACTCAGACGTGTGCGAGTAACTAACTGGTACGGACGCTTTAATAGAGGTGGAAATGAATTACAAGGGCGTTCTGGCGTGCGACGAAAGAGGTGATTGACGGTAACGGACATGGTCCACTTCAGCGTGCACCTCGCTTCTCCCCGCTGCGTCCCAATGATCCCCTGCTCGAAACGTTCGATTTGTTTACCAATTCAAGAAACGATCAATAACTTGAGATGTTGGCCGTCTTATGGAGGTTAGCGTCGGACGACAAGTCAGTCAGAGTTTCCAAACCTGGAAATCTGCTATCACAAGTGTTATCGCGTAGTGTTGTCTTTTCAAGGCTGCTTGTTACTCTTAATTAGCTCCTTTAGCCCCGGTAGTTATTCTAACAAATTCCATTAGAGCGACGCTTTCTTTAAAGCTACAAAACAACGAGAATCGTACCCTTAAGTTGTCTACGTATTATCAGTGATTTCTCTCCGATTAACGATGCTATCTCGGCAATGTTTCCAATTTCAGCTGATTGGCAGTGGTGTAACGTTGACTTAATGTATATCAGCATCCACCTCCGCATACAGATGTAGCTCCCATTAGTGCTGGTCCTAGTTTATTAAGTCTCTCGAACGGCCTAAACTGTCAAAGGCTTCTGTTGTAACTGGTCCCTGGAATGGACGCATCACCACCCCTGGGTTTCTCAATGCCTTCATTGGTGTGCTGCTTGTCAAGTGGTACACAGTTAATGAGTGGCACAGCCCACAGCTTGTAGTGAAATTTCTGCGGCCAATATATGGTGTCTGGGTGTCTCATTTGAGCTGGTTTAAATTTTGGGCTAATTTACAGGAAGCAGCTGACTTCTTGTGGAGTGTCCACTAGCTTACACAAAAGATGTTGGAATCAGATTAGAAATGTTTTACCATTATATCGGTTGCGTGACCTTTTGCTTGCTAAGTCTTCAATCACAGGCGTGGTTCCTTGATTTCATATAAACAAAATTAACAAGATTAGGGTACATCTTCCATTTTAAGGCAAGGCAAAAATTGCCCGTTTGTGTTTCCTCCAACAATCATCCTGGTTTATACATAATTTAGACCCTACGGCAACGGGATTAATATCGACATTGTCCAATCGCAGTTAATTCCTGCGGCAGACTTGGATCAAAATGCCACATTGGTAGGGTAACATTTCTGTCAGAGCCTTCAACTGATTGTCAGCGTGATTTTACTTGATTTCGCATCTCATGCTCAAATGCGATGTTTGAGCCACACAAATTTCAAGTAGATTTCATGTACACTGCCAGGTGCCAAGTCACCAGATGCAGCACGTGCAGGGGTTTTTTCCATAACTAGAATGAAAGGAATGGCTGCTTTACCTTGAGCTCGGTAACTCTCGAGCTTATAAAACTGCAATGTGGACTGTGTGACACTTATGTAAATTTCCACTGTTAAAACCTGATCTTGCGCCCAGATTCCCAGAGATTAATAAGCAAGTTTGGGTGTAGTGTGTGGCTTCATTTAAAATTTGCCAAGGGGGATCGTCTGTCCGATCCCGAGTTCCCCATTAAATGCCAAAGAATTTCCTGCATTTGACCACCTGAGCTCTCCTTACAGTTCTTTCTGCCTTCTGTTAAGTGAGCCAGTTATTTAAATGCTCAATTATATTTTGTTTCGCTACTGAGTGGCCCCACTGAATCTCGTCTTGTATTAATACGAAGTGGTGATAAATTGAAGCTAATGGCTTAGTCATTTGAGGAACAATCGAACAGCCCCATCGCATCATCTATTTCACCTGATTTGTCGGTGAAATTTCGAAAGGATTTTTTTGTTAAAAACAAGTCTCTAACCTCACACTTGGGCTAAAAGACGTTTGTATCTGGTAAAACAAGGAAATAGCCAGAAGTGCCTCAGTTCTGATCAACAAAATAGCCACTGTGCTTTATCGGAAGTACGTGACTTTGCGGCATTTCCGAAAGGTTGCGGACAAGCGACTTAACCACTGAGGTTTCCAGTACCATTAGCTTACGAGACCTGCTGGAATAAATTACTGCGGTGTGTTTTGTGCGCAAGAATGTTGTAGCGTGTGCACCGTTTAAGACCATCCACCTAAGTCTGACTTACAGCAGATTCCCACTTGGCTGTCAGAGGACGCAGGATCCGGACACTCTCTCTGACCTGACCATCTCCTCATCAGGTGGTGCTTGGCCTCTAAGTGCTATCTTGAAACGCGTCCTTTGATGTTAGACAGCCACGCAAATCATATCAGCTTATTTCAGAGGCGCATTCAAAAACTTTACCTTCGTGTTAATTGAAAACCGTCGCGTGTTCGTCATAAATCAGCCTGTAGTAACACCGTGGCTTCGCTTAGATGGTCTGCCTTATGCACTGTAACACCGCTTTGACGGTCAATTCCGGATGTAAACTGTTGTAACCAAATTTAATTTAACTCAAGAGGGGTAAGGGTTGGCCTAGATCAGCCTTTTTGAAAAATCTTTACCTTGCATATTGTTATAAGCAGTTACTTTAGGCCAAAAAATGAAATGGTTTACCGGATAAAATCTGCTTTTTTTAAAAAAAAAACTTATTTGCGACTTTCCTATAAAACCCACCAGCAAAAAAATTCACAGAAATTTTAACCAAACATTCCTCTCTGATTTTTTTAAATTCTGCTCAACATCCCCATTTTCCAAATGAGGTTATGTAGTCTATTTTGACAGCAGTCGCCTTGGTCAAAAGCGAGCGAACGAAGTCCAAGTCCCCATCATAAGTGTGCAATGGTTGTGTGACGTCGCTTCTGGGCTTTTGTGTATTCGCGACCGGATAAGTGTTTACTAATCACCCTCCAATCCTTCATTCTTAAAAAACCTGATCTATGACACTTTAAAAGTACATTTACAGAGTCGTTAGTAGTAGTAATCACCGACATAGACTGGTCTGATATTCCCTTCTGTTACGGTTGCCCGTAACAAAGAGAAAACCACTCAAATAATGGTACCAGATCCCTAGCTGAAGCTAGAACCGACCTTCCCAGGCTAATACAAGAACAAGACCAGGGGAGCTTTAATCACGTCAGCCACGTGCAGAGTGCAGTATCGTAAACGAAACTAATTCAAGTCAGGGTTGACCTTGACTTGATAAAAAGCGTAGCAAAACAAATGTTAGTGAATAGAATTTAAATAGCACCAGAAACCAATCCTGGGGAATAGTGGATCCCCAACACTTTCAACAACAAAAACTACCATTCAGGGTGTTTTACCGAAGATGCTGTCAAATTATAATGCTGTGGCATTTCGCCTAGTCTGTGCGTTTTACTAATAAACGTTATCTACCGTTGTAATCCATTCTCCATGAGCGGAAATTGGCTGTTGGAATTCATCGAGCCATTTAACCACGCACGCATTCTACTAGATTTAAGCTGCCACTTGACCGTTTTTGTTACAAGTAACCTTCGACTAACAGTGCCTACTTATTGGAATTCAGGCGCTACTAGCGAGCAATCATGATTTGTAATTTTTAAAATCTCATGACTCCCGACTTTCCTTGCCATTAAGCGTTAAGTTGTCGTAGTATGCTTGTTTTGTCTTGAATAACCCCTGAGATGTTTTTACATTTAAACCTAGCCTGGGGTCAAATTTAGGCAGCTGCCATGGGTGACAGTTGTTATAATGTTGAGTACCACTACTGCACTGCTGATGTATTTTGTTACTCTAGTTTGAGTCATCGGTTCAGATTTAGTCGGCCTCAATGAAATGCCTCACACCCTCAAACTACTTTAAAATCAGGCTGGGACACTCCCCTCTTATAACAACCCCAGGTGTTCCTTTCCACTGTGCAGCAAGGTCCGGAGTTCTTAAAAAAGCGGTTTTGCCCCATTTGCACGTCGCCATTATCTCGAGTCAGACTAACAAACATGTGGCTTGTGAGGGATTGCTCTCCAGTGTCAGAGCAGACTCATTACCTACCTGAAATATCCATTCACACTTCCTTTTGGTTTGCTGTGAGTTTAAAAATGCAGACACGGATGGTAGGCCAGTGTCAGTACGTGTTGTCGGTGTCGCTGAGAGTCAGGTGTATTGTAGAACGATTGGATGATTTCACGATGCTCTAAACGCTGTTTCTGTTTCATTTTCAAGCGTGTAGGGTTGACGTGTGGGCGTGTTGTGCATTAACGAAACATCATTGTTGTATTTGCGTCGTTTGCAGCATCCAGTTGTATGTACACTTTAATGAGATTTGGGGAGGTCCACGTTGTCAGAGAATTAATTTCCGCATTAACTAGATTAACGCAATGAATTATGCAGTGCTGTGTGTCTATTCGTGTTTTTTTTTTGCCGTTTAAACATTACCAAAGGAAGCCACGCCGAAGCACTAACGGACATTGGAACGCGTATTGTTACACGTGCGAAAAGCAGGTTGGCGGATCTCTAGAAATGGCTGTCAACTGTAGCGAATCGTGCTGATTCAAGTCCGTGAACCCGGTCATCTCATTCTCCGCCACACTGAACTTTTTTTTCACCCAGACAGAACTGATCGACAATCCCATTTAGTTAGACGCGTTTTTAGGTGCAGGGGAGCAACTAGGATAATTCGGTTGGGCTGTCTAGTAATCGGTCTTGTCTCTGCCGTCTTTCGTCCTATACCCGTCTTCTGCAGCTTAGTCAATTCCACGGTTTATTTTTACTCAACGGCTCCGGTGTGTCAGAGAATAGCAATTCAAGTGTTTTGGCTGGAATTTGTGAAATTCCAACTAAAACGTGGCTTTGGAAATCTGTCTTGACGTTGAGTTGGCCCCTTGCATACACGTCGACATATGAGGCATTTTACTGACAATTTTAAAGTCCACCCAAGCGGCCCTATTCCCGAATTTCGACCCAGGCTGTGGCTTTGGTGATTAGCTACGTTCCTGCGGACATTATAGACTCCGCGTCACAGGTCGGTGGCCGTACGAATAAAGCATTTTAACCCATAACACTCCATTGTGTGTCGTTTAGGGCCAAACTTGAAATGCCTCAGATGCTCAGTGCCGGCGCTCAAAGTCTCCTGCGTGCTCTCTTCAAGCGAACGCCAGCTAATCGTCTGGGTGAGTTCAATTGCCAGCAAATCTTAAGAAAAATAGGCGATCCTTGTAGCACGAAACCACCTTCGAAGACTGCGATGTCGCCTTATTGGTTCACCGTGTTAACAGCATACGGATGTAACATTTCGCAGTGGTCTGTCACGATTTGCATATCATCACCTTGCCAATATGACCCTAAACCAACATGATTTTGCCCTACACAGAATATCAGTTCTAGTTAGGTTTGTGTAAAATTGAAGTTATTTCTTTCTGCACTTTTGTTGTCCCTGGTGACCATTACGCATTTTGCGAGAACAATGTGATTGCACCAATTTAACATACTTCCTCACTGATGCAATCAACTCTAAGTTTAATAATGTAATTTGCTATAGAATGGTCACGGATTAGAGTTTTAAATTTCACCAAATCTGCCTTGCTGCATCAGATAAAAATGCAGACGCATCCCAGAGTGGCAGCAAAATGTACTCGTGCCTGCGTGTTCCGGCGTCTACCTCTACCCAATTCGACCACTTTCCCTCCTGAGACTGTGAGACCCCATAAAATATTTTCTTTCGGCTAGCAGTTGTATCTCATGCAACCTTATGAGTGTAGTTCAGCCTACTCAAATTGCCCCAGTAACATATTACTGTTTTTTAACATAATCTCACAATTGAATCCGCCGGTTACGCAACATGGTTCAACGCCACGAATTGGTGGACTTGAAAATCCAGTCAGTTGATCTGATTGCTCTTGTGCCTCAACTTTACTCTTGGCTTTTTCTCTATTTGTTAATTGTTGATGGCAATGGTGGCGGGATGTCGCCATCGCGTGTATTTTGTCCAATCAGTTAGACCTACCTGGCGAGCACGTCTTCTTTTCTGGTGCCTCAAATGTTTTCGTAATTTGTGTTAATCTTTGCCGCTGGATGAATGCGTGCCCTGTGATTCATCACTAGCGGAATCTTGATTTACAATTTAAACCGTTCATATGTCTTTATGTTAACTCTCATTATTCCGTTGAGTAGATTGGGATAAGAGTTGTCGTACATGGGATTTTTGTTTTTAATGTGAAACATGAAGGAAGTCGTGCACAATTCAAGTTTATCAAATCACGGCAGCCCCCAAAACGTGCGCTCTTCTACGTAAGCAAGTGAAAACATGCTTCTTAGGAAATAATCCACCTCGTCCTTTTAATTGACGTTTGTTCATTGCGTTGGACACACGCAATCAGTATTCCAATGGCTGCATCTCGTCAAGAATTACAGTGCTCATTTAAGCCAGGCGAAAAAAGTCAGCATGATCGATGGGTAAGGCCAATTTGGCAATACGTAGCCGTTGGTTAAAACCACCTAAACATCTTTTTTGCCAAAAAGTCCGGCTATAGATCTCGAAAATAACACTGACTGATATTGGAACCCTAGGTAACGCGCGCTTTAATTTTAAGCGCGTTTTTTTGAATTTGTTAAACCCTTCTCACAGTAGCCACAAATAAATGCCCTTGTTCTTTTCTTTTTCGCTATCCAGGTTATGGGCCTAACGGATTCAAGGATTTGCAAGCACACGAATTTTTCAAACCAATCAACTGGACCGACCTAGTTAACCTCAAGGTCACGCCTCCATTTAAACCAACCTGTATGCTGGATAATCTTGCCTTTAACTTTGACAAAGAATACACCACCAGAACACCGAAAGGTACAGAACACGATCATGTGTAAATTTGCCTTTACGCTGTCGGCTTCCGTGTTCACATGTTTAAATCAAAGTAGAGATCGAGCGATGCTGCGTTAGATCAGCCTTTTTGAAGAATTACCAATTACACTCGTGCTAGCAGTCTATCTCCATTCGGTCACCTGATATTTTTCTCTCCCTTTTTTATCACGACGCAGATTCTCCCGCTGCCCCGCCAAGCGCTTCCGCCCATGAACTGTTCCGGGGATTTAGCTACGTTGCACCCTTCCTGTCTGACAAACAGCCTGATGCCATCAAACTTCGTCAGGCGGATACTGGTGTGTTCACTCTTTCTCTTTAACTAACGAAAAATGGACTCACGCGAGTTTTTGGTGCACCAGTTATCAATAGTTTCTTTTAATATCGGTAAATGCGGATCTGAGTGACTGAGGTTGACTAATCGGGATAAATGCATGCTTCATTTATTAAATTGAACGCGATTAATGGGAGTGTCAAGTGATGCGCCCTGTACAACGACCCAACTTTATGGAATTTGAAGGGAAAAAATTCCGATGCAAATTATTTGCTGTGTCAGTTTAACTTGTATTCCTTTAGTACCTCCTACTGTTCCTGTGTGCAAAATTATCCCGGGAAACCCTGAGTAGCAATTCATTCGATAAAAAAGATGGTTAAAGAATCGAGTAAATTAAAACGAACAAAAAAAACAGTTCAATGTGCAGGCGTGATTTTTATCGCTGTGTCGCCTCCCATCCAATCAATCTCAATTTCTTTGCACCGTGCCGACATGTCTGTCGGTAATTCATTGTGTATTCTTCCTCTTCACACACACACACACACTCACTTGTTTTGCGAGCTTACTCAAAGTACACACCCACGCTCAACAGCCTAACTTGAGGTAGTCATGTCGAGTGGTAATCGCGGCTTCGCTGTTCGGCTGCTGCCAATGTGCACCACAAAAGCCTTCCCACTTTTATGCACGCACCTAATTGACCACCGGCCCAGGTTTTACAGCTTCCTTGGGCCCATTGCATGCCAATCTAGCCAGTCGGCTTTCGCTAGGTTTTAACTCGACACTCCGATTGGAAAAATCGCTTTCAAATAGGCAAGAACGTAGTGATTCGATTAAGTGCAATTACGACCTGAGGTCAGATTATAACTTTTGAAATGCGGCAGTGAAGTAGATATCAGAGATTTTTATGCCAGTGTGAAAAGGCAGAGTCGGTAGTAGTCCAGTAACTTGCGGAGCAATTGGCGGGTACTTTTCTCGACGTACGTAAACGCATTCGACTGTTCGCCAACCTTTTAGGCTTCAGGCCTCGTCACGCGTCAAACTTGAAGCGGATCAGCGGAGTCAAATTTAAGGATTTCACTGGTGACTACGAGCTTCTGGATAAAATCGGGACAGGCTCTTATGCTACAGTTTACAAGTGCAAACAGACGTCCACCGGTGGCATCTTTGCTGTCAAGGTAGGCTGCATTGTTATTTTTTCCTGGTATTTCAGACCGTTTTTGACATCAAATGTATTCACTTAAGGCTACTAGTGGCTACTTCTCTTCAAATCGCAACTTGTATTTGGTGCCTTTTTGATTATTCCCTTAAAATAGAACATTCTTCTTGCGCGTAGTGACCTTTGCTAAATAAAAATTGACAAATTAGACCTATAAATGGTAAAATAATGGTGGTATTTTGGAAATGACTGTGATTATTTCTGGTTTATCAAAGGTACCTGTTATACGAACCTTCTGTCTGAATTGTTCGTTCCAAACAGCAACACCATCTTTGCCGCTACTCTGGCCTTCCTTTCTGCAGTAGCGCGTCGTAGGTTGTATCTAGACAGTCATTTGTCATAATTCAGTACTGTCAGTTGTCTTGTTTTACATTCACATGTGCTTACGGTCCTCTTTCGCTCGATAATAGTTTTGATTTTATGTGGAGAACTTTTGTTATCCTTATGTTTACGCAGGAATATGCTTATCATTCACTCTCAATGCCTTCCGACCGAATTTGGTACCGATGAGTGACACAAAATTTCCAGATTTCGACTGTTTCGGTTATGGTTTTAGTTTCTGTAGAATTTCAGTTCGGCGCCAGTCTGGTGCGGTTTTGTGGGAAATTTTGCCATCGGCGGTGTCTCCTCCACACTTGGGTATTCACTATACCATGCATTAGTCGCTCAACCGGCCCGTGCACATTCTGGTGAGAGACCTCATTATGTCTTTGCTTGCTTGCCCATTTCCCCACACTTAAATTCGTTATGCAAGCGCCGCTGATTACTCATATTTCGTTTTGAGGCAGTTCGTTGCTAACTCCCTGCTGGGGTATTCGTTGCCCGCTGTTTTGCCGAAGAATTTGGCTCCACCATTGTTCCATTTTCTTACAATGGGACCCTAAGCTTGGATTATTGTTCAGTTACAGAATGCCTCATTGCTTTCATCAGCAATCTCCGACGTTTTTGTTTGCATTACTGGTGTACTTTGTATGTTTTCTAAATAACCGCGGTTTATGGCTTGTAGGTTATTGATGAGACTGTCCATGATCCAACGGAGGAAGTGCAAATTCTTCTACGTTTCAAAGGAATAGCGAATATCGTAACCTTACGAGAGGTAAGCCTATGTGCCCTTAACAAACAGGATGCAATGCCCCCCCCTGCCACCATCTACCAGACTCAACTCGTAAAGTCCTCAGCAATGTTCAAGTCAACGCTGGCGAGTGGTTGGCTAGTGCTTCAAAGTCGATACCGCGCTTAGCATACCCTTGGGACCTTCAGCACCGTATCGTTACGTGGTGGCTCAATTATTAAACGCCATCAGTTTTGCGTATTTCTGCACCAATCAAATCTAACTCACCTTGCGATTCGCTCCACCAATGAGCGTTCCTCAGGCCGTTTGGATTCAACTTTTGTATGTCACCGGGAACTAACCTTTAGCGTCTGCTCATTTCGCATTGATGAGGTTCCAATGATTAAGAAATGGATTAGTGTAATACCGTGGATCAATCAATAAAAACACTAAATACTAGCGGATATATACGCTCCAACAGGTTCAGTTGTTATTGCGGTTATCATAAACAATAAATTTTACAGCAATACGTAGAGTAAACACTAAATGTGTACGACATATGTAGTCGCTTAACACTAGAGTCGAGCTTGAATAGTGTTCTAACAAAATCAGTACAGTAAAACAAAGGGTAATACAGAAATGACATTACAAATGTTACACTGACCGTCAAAATACTCCTTGGTGATGTGGACTCTGATAGTGTTTAATGTCGAAGTAAGCATCGCACACTACGCAGACACGTGGTGAATTAAGTCGGTATTAGAATCTTTAACAAAATCTGATGTTTTCTTCATTTGCTAGATTTATGAATTCGATAGGCGCGTGTACCTTGTGCTAGACTACCTCGAGGGAGGTGAACTCTTTGATAAAATCACGCGGCAGAAGTGTTTCTCCGAGAAAGAAGCTAGCTCTGTGCTGGAGGTCCTTGCCCGTACCATTGATACTCTCCACAAACAGCTGGTAAATTGTCCTTTTTATGGTTCGATGGAGTTGTAGCAATTACCGAGGTCACAACTTCTTGATATGCAACAAAACCAACTTTGTTGTGTGGCGGTCTGTGCTGGAAACAGTCAGTAGACATGAATTCACACCTGAGGTTAGATAATCGAGGTTGAGTGCAGTTTCCTTGTGGCTGATAAGCTAAATTCACCTTGGATTGGCCGTTTGAGAATCCCTTACGAATTATTGCCAGTTGCCCTCAACCACCTTTAAAAAAATAAAAATTATTTAAGCTAATTACATGCATTTCGGAGTCTAGTGCTTATCCCCTCTGTACCCAATTTAGAAGTGCTTCCTAGCGGGGCCTGTCTAACTTGCCACCCACTGTCTTAGAATTTACTGACGTGCATCCGTCGAAGTCACCACTCATGAGACATAAATCCTTTCATTGCACACCCTTAAAAAAGACTTTTTTCTAAAAGTTGAACTGTAACTCTACTAATGCCTCGAAGCATTGGACTATCAAGTATGGCAATAATTTCAATAGATTCATCATCCTAACCGACAAAGCTGATTGGTTTTCGAAATCACCAAACCATAAATGACCGAATTAAGATGATTTTAGAGCATACACTTGGGGACACAGGACAATCCTGAGTGCATGTAATCCAACTGTCTAATTCTTAATCAAGAGTAAGGTGTAATTGCACTTTCACCACCCGCCTTTCGGCAAAAAGATCGACACCCACTAACTGGACCATTGTGTTTTCTCCAGACGTTTTGGTTTAAAAAATTGATCAGTCACCATCGTCAGAGTGGTATCCAACATTACCTCGGCCGATTTCGCTAAGCATTTTCTGGGCACTGCGTTCCCGAATTCTGTCCGTTTGATTGCCCTCGGTATGAGCTCGTGTGGAGCAGGGCGTTTTTCACTTATACTGATCATTTTAAAATCTAACCCCTGGAATGCATTTTGAATTTGTACAATGTAAAAATCAGGCATTTCATTGGTCCAATCGAATGTGAAAATTGGCCCGATGATGAACTTGACGTAATGGCTTCAGGTTGTCCACCGAGATTTGAAACCATCGAACATCCTCTACGCGGATTCAACGGGCTCCCCGGAGAGCATTTGTATCTGCGATTTCGGCTTTGCCAAACAACTGAGGGCTGAAAACGGTCTCTTAATGACACCCTGCTACACGGCCCAGTTTGCGGCTCCAGAAGTAAGTTGCCTACAACAACTTACCCTACTTATATTAAGTAAGTAAAGAGATCGAGTTGCCATCTGCTGCCTATTTCCACAGGTACTTAAAATGCAAGGTTACCACATGGCCTGCGACATTTGGAGTCTGGGAATTCTCTTGTATGCAATGCTGGCTGGACGAGTTCCCTTCGCCACGGGACCTAGCGACGCGCCCGAGGTCATCCTTCGGCGAATTGAATTGGAACCACCGAAACTAACCGAAGCCAGCTGGAATTCAGTCTCCGATGAGGCCAAGGTTCTTCTGTTGTTGTAATTTAAACTACTGTGGATGTCGTGTAGCTACTGTAGTTTGCAGGAAGTCGGTGTAAAAAATAAACGTAAAACAACCGCTTCGTTATTAAGAGGCATAGGTACGCCGATTCCACAGAGAAAAGCCGGCGATTTAGGAATGTCCCCTAAACGATAAACGTTGTGACAATAAACAGCGTAACCAATGAATGCACACAACAAGTGTACACCTTAAAAGGCACTCGAGCTTATTACCGCATGTTCCGTGAGCAAATGGTAAGTGGCCATCGGTAAGAGTCGAATTTAATGCAGCTGATAAATCAAGCCTAACATGTAGATGTTAGAGTCGGTAAGTGGCGGTTACTGCTGGGGGAAATAATTGTGGCGAAAGCATTCTCTCCCCTAAGTTTGTCCAATCTTGAATTAATTGCAAGTTCCGTTTGCTTGCCCACGGACCGAGTCTGTGTCGATAATTGAATATAACAACAAATGCAAATACGAAGCTCTAATGGTTAATGGAAATGCCTAACATGTCACTTCTACGACCAGTAGGAAGTGATGAGGGTGTGCTCATGAACGTCTGGACAGAATTTCATGCGCTATGGATTTCTTTCTTAACTTTGACGACGAGAACTTCAAGTCTGAGAGGTTGTCGACATCAAAGCTTAGATGAATGCGTAAAGCAGCTAATTTGAGTGTTCCATTATCCAAATGCATGGCCACAACTTGGGGGATCTTTCACCAGAAGCATTGCAGTTAACGACTGCCGCTTCCTCCCTGTCATGATCCAACTGAACACCAAATTAAGTTGCTGCAGCTGATAGCGCGTGGGGGGAGTAACTGCATTTGACTCGGTTTACGACCTTCGGTTTCCTTTTGCTAGGACCTAGTTCTCAGTATGCTCAACGTTGACCCAAAGAAAAGACCCACCGCCTCTGAGATTCTGCAGCATCCGTGGATAAAGGGCAGAAACTCCTTACCCACCCGCCCGCCTTCCATCCTCCAACTGCCCGATGCTCAGTCAGTAAAGGTAAGAGGGCCGCTTTGCGATCTCAAATCGATACCTCTAAATTGTCTCGGGATTATGCATCTCCCCATGCCCTGAGAATAACGTTTGAGTGACTTCCCGCAACCATGAGTAGAATGGAAATTCTAAGCCGCTTGACAAGTGTGTGTGTGTGTGTTAGTTACGGAAGTTTGTAAGGGACTCGCATGCACACTGGGGAAACTAAATTTTTGCCGCTGCTGCTGCATCCTTGGTGTGCTAATAAGGAGGATCAAGAGGTGGTGAAAACCCAGGCACGAGGCCAAGTGGTTCGGTCTTACGTGAATCGTGGTGACCTTCATGAACTAGCAAAATTCACCGTACGACCAATGGGATTTAAGGATCTCAGGGCATCCTAGTCAACATAACTGATTGTCTATGCTGATCTACTAAAGTAAAGAAACGCGAGATTAAACTAAGGTCCCATGAACGGGCAGCGACTTGCTGACCTGACTTAAATGAAACAGGTGGGGTTTGGCTGAATGCACCGTAGGCTGACGCACGTATATCGGGTCCAGTTCTGATTAGGCGAGCTCTCTTACTAAGAAAATTTTTACACCAAAATGTTTAGCATTTCCCAATTAGATTATACTTATCCAAGTACTAAGTACGTTTGGTGAGGCACTTGGGCATTCGCGGGTTGTTTGATGGAGCCGTTAAACGTTGGTTACAGCGACATAGAGACGTTTATTATTTGTTTTTATTTTGCAAAGGCAACAATCGCAGGATTCTTCAAGGCGTTAAAAACAAGTCCGCGAACCGAATTGGAGCCAGTTGGAGCCTCTCTGCTGGCACAGAGACGCGGTAGACAAAAACCCTCCCCAAACACCGACGTCTAGCTCTTCACATGCACACACGAAGATGCACTGCTTTCACGTCGTCGATTCCCCTATCTGTGATGTTTACTAACTTCCTTTTATATATTTTACAATGATGTTAAAGCAACAAATGTGTTTTTTGGATCTTTTGCCTTCTGTGGTGAATTGGGCTCGTCGTAAATAAGTTGACTCCGCGAACCTGAAATTCGAGGGTTCTGTGTGCACAAACCACTTAGAACGTGCATCTAAACAACCAATTACAGACAGTTATTCCTAGGAGTTGTTATTTGGTGGCCGTACGTGATGCCCGTGTTAATAATGTGATAGCCTGTTGTTTCCACCAACAGAAATTCTGAAGTTGGCTAGAGGAACGGCGCGCTCATCGTTGTCCCAGTCCTAGATTCGTGATTAATCGCTAGTTCGACTCCTGTTAGGCGGGGTCCGGGGGGATTCTATTTTGCTAACCTTATTCTCATCGCATTTTTCATCCGGAGTGTCACGTGGGGTACTACTGTGAACATTTGGAATGACCAACGTTTCAGGGACCAAATCCAGCATTTGAGAAATTGACGTCGTGGGAATTCTGTTGTGAAGATGTATACGAAACGCTTGGTTGGCTTCTCAGGCCAAAATAAACCTGGTTTAAGCTCACCGTGAGGTGTGTTTGCTCTTCAATTCGTTTTTTTTTGCATTATCTGAACCGAGAATATGCAGTGATGACAGTTGTGCTCTCCAAGGGTTAAAGTCCATCATGCATCTGAGAAGCCCATTGGTTGAGCTAACTGAACAGATTTATGAGTTCGGTCACGCAAACTTCCACTCGCTACTTGTGTATCGCTTAGACAAACGTAAGTTACCCAATCAATAGTACAGCTTTCAGCCCTTTATAAATTCGTCATTTTGTGATCGATTTTGCCACATTAGATTTACGTATTCAGAGCTTGTAAATGGCATTTAAATGTTTCAAAAGTAATTTAAAATAAGCCGTTTCTTACGCATTGATGATACGTAGCCATGCAGATCTGAACTGAAAAGAGCATGGTGCTGTAAAAACCAACTCAGCACCAATTTTTCATTCAATCCGGTTGAGGCTTCCGTAGCCAGACTGGTTATCTTCTATGCAAGAATCAAGAAGGCATTGTTCAGTGTTTGGTTAAAACCTGTGACCCAGTGTTCCGATGATCAGATGCGATGGGTTAGGGGACGGCGAGTCACGTGATGGAGTGAAGTAATTCGGATTTCTTATGAAAGCACCCCAGAGAACTTCTTTGCGGTCATGCCTGTTGGTTGATCTTTCGACCAACCGCAATATCTGCTAATTCTACAGTGTATGGTCGAAGTACGCTTTTAGTCAATTCGTAGCAGTTTATTGCAAATGACTAAGATGATGATTAAATCAGAGGACCAATGAATTTTCAATTGACCTTGCCTTTAGGTTTATGTGTTTTGTCGTCTAAGTGCTTGCGTCAGGTCTTTCAAGTATTTATGTTAACAAACCTTGGTATTTCACAGTTTACAGCTTCATTTAGTAAATACGTCAACTCGAGTACTTCATTGTTACCCTTCCATTTGCGTTTTATTCGCACATTAAAATACCAAACTCAGGCTACTTAGAAAATTAGTCTTTCACTTCTTGCTTTTGCTGCAAAGGAGTACTTAGATTCTTGAGCATAATAAAACGTGGAGGAAATTGAGCAGTGTGGTGTGAAAGACCTGATTTCGTCGACAAAGTTGAAAAAAACTGTAAACATACCTTTCTGTCTCTCTTAGTAATCTACGGACACGAGAAATCTGAGAGTGCTAGTATAAAACAGACTTCACGGCCATGGAAAACCTCATGTAGAGCAGTGCGATGATTATACTGTAGCAGCCTAAGCCATGCTACCATTTGCTTATATTTTCTTATTTTGTCGTCTGGGTTTCTTTCAAATTAACTTCCTCAGCATGCTTGACGTAGGCACAGATTATTTAGACAATGTGCATTTGGTGAAGTGCCGCATCCCCTTAATCTAGGTAGTAAAGTGCAATGACCTACTTGGAATGTTGGTTTTTTCTTTTACCTTGTAGTGTTTGTAAATAAAATTTGCACTGTTACCTCAAGGAATGGAGGTTCTATCGCCCAAACAGCGTCTCATCATGGCGGGCATGAAATGCAACTCCCTGCCGAAGATCGCGAAGGTGAATGTAGAACTGCACCAAGTCGGAACCAGCAGTCCCGCACGTTCGGAGGATTTGACGTCAAAGCTCTACCGAAACGTCACCCAAACCCCAAGCCCAGCAAGTGAACGGGGTAATTGATCTCTAGAAACAAATTCGGCCTCATTTATGGGTGCCGCTTGCACACGGTTCACTCAACACATGTACCTTAATTGTCCACGGCACTTTTTAAATCGATGTCCTTTTATCCATCCTCCATCTAAGTCCGGCGGCCTTTGGTGTAACTTAACTGAAAACGCCAATAGTTTAATATACTCTAGCCGATTCGGGACTGCCAAGTGGTCAGAATAAACGTCTACGTCTTCTAACACTGCTTGAACCTAAGGCCATATGTTTGTATTGGTCAAACCTATCATCACTTCAAGGGTCAACTAATGTTAATTCCGAAATCCATTCATTAAGACGCCTGAAATGCTCAGAAAAATCAATCACGACGAACTGGTAAATCTAGTTTTGTTCTTTACATATTAAATGGCTTCCTACAAACCAGACACTTGAAAATCAACCCAAGACTGGATTTAAAAAACTCCTCATGTTTCAGGTTAAATAAAAACTGCGGTCGCCCTATTTTTCATTTGCTTTAACGAGAATGGAGAGCGAAATCCCATTTACGAATGTCCAAGTTAAGTTGCATTTTCATCGTCAATTTGGTGGATCAAAACATGTCAAATCTGCAAAGGGCGTTACCCGCTAGTAATATTTATAAACACACAATGGCGCCTCGCGTCTGTTTATGTACAGTGAGGCGATGCATGGTAGTGTGCTTGTCCAAGAGTTGAAATCTGTTTAAAATGTACAGAACAGATAATGAGTATACACTGTCGAACTATCCGGATCAATAACGAAGTTGTTGTAAGCATTAAGTATTTACAAATGCAAAGATAGATTATTTAACATCTAGGTTGTTTATGCCAGAAACTTTTGAAAGCCGTAAAAGTTACTGAATTATCAGATCGTGAAAAATAGACCAATTACTAAAAGCTTGAATGAAGTAGCAATAAGACTCAATGTATCTTCAACGGAGAATGGTAAATCAGAGCTTTAATTTGTAGTTAAGTTGATCTGTGGATAGCAAAGTCTCCTGAGACGAAACTTTTGGGCAACTTCAATTCCTTGTGGAATTGAGCATGATTTTATCGATGTGTTCATGCGCAGCCCACATAACAACAGCAGCCTTTGGGACAGCGCATTTGGAGAAATATGATTGTTAAAAGCAAACATTTAGAAGCGACAGACCATATTGCATCCAATTGACTGTGACCGAGGTTCTGCACTCATAAACCATGAAACGAGTAACCTCAGTAAAGGACCTGTGGTTTTGAAGTCATTGTCGTTGCAGCAATTTTCAACTTCTGTGTCAGTATCATGACAAATCCACTCCTAAATCATCACCCTACTTTCAGATAAGTGAATTTTACGGTTTACAGGGATTCTTGCGTTTGCACTGAGTCTTACGAAGAAGAGTACAGCAAAAATATGGACCACGTCCATGTACTTACCTATTAATCAGGAAATAATATTGATGCTGAGATTATTTACAATTTACCTTTTACTAGGAGCCAATGGAAAACTTGCAGACCTAACCGATCTCTGGTAATGTTGATAACAGTGCCGTTAGCTGTAAATGTTTTACGATCAAAACATTGTGTTAGGACTTTCGCCACAAATTACTTCTAGATAAACCCATGACCACAAGCAGGCTATCTAAGACGTGGGAAGGATTCATTTAATACTAGACCCTCTGTGGTTATGTAGGCTGGATTCTGACTCATTCAGTGCTATTTACACGATTTCTGGTTCCCTGCTAGTCGAAACTGTAATTGTACCTTAAAATGTCTCACAAGTCAAGCTTTTCTTGTAGTACAACGAGCTCATTCGCTGTACACACTGTCAGCACCAGGCAACAACGAGTACCAGACGAACACGCTGGTGAATCTCTTACCACCCACTACACACACCACGCCAGTCGAATATGAAATCATCGACCCATCTGAGGAAGTAGCTCCTGCCACCCCGTCAATCTCTGTCAGCGAACTTGCATCAGGACCCGGCACTCGGGCGAGCTGGCGCATCGGCATTGTCGTCGTCTGCATACTGCTCGCATTCGTCCTTCTCACTGTGATCATCCTCGGAGTCTACTTCGTCAAAAGGTGATTGTCAACAATCTCTTACTATTGGCCTACCGGCAAAAGTTGCCAAGCTACCATGGAGACACTTACCTATACCATAACTCGTCACCTACATAGTAGTGTCGATTAGTACTTGTACACTGGTGCCTGAGTCGCTTACTGATTCAGCATCTTCTGGTAGGTGTTGTGCGAGAGACTAAAGAGAAATGGATCTGTAGCGGCTTCGTTAGCGCTTTCTTACAACCCTGATAGTCGACAGTCCGTAACAGCCCAGGAGGAAGGAAAGACTGGTGATAGCAAATATAACTATTTATTTACATTTGACCAACCAAGTCTTGTATGGCAGAGTGCGTGAGTGAATATCGAATGTCAAATGTAATCAACAATCGAAGTGTTGTGAATCGCGTTGATTCACAATCGGTCACTTCAGCCTCCGACACAGGGTCCCCCTTTTCGCAGCATGGCGCCAGCCTCCCGATTCCTCAACTCCCTTTCTCATTAGCCCGAACGATTATTCTAGATTATCCTCACACCTAGGTCTCGATGTTAGCACGTGTATGACTCACACATCCGAGGTATAAATGCACAAACACACAAAGCCACTTGGCAATCGTAACACCGACAAATGGTCGTGTTCTTTGTCGCCTCTTTCCCCTTCCTGGGTTTAAACGGGCTGACTGCTACTATAAACTGGTGGCCCTGACGTGATTTGAACACGCGATCCTCTGATCTGGAGTCAGACGCACTACCGTTGAGCAAACAAGTAGCTGCGATACAGGACATCAGCACTGTATCCGAACGGGCGGATCACCTGATTGCGATTATCAACACAACGCGGACACTGACCGTGTGAACAGGACAATCTCGACACCGTGGGACCGCACGCAATGTCAACACTTGTCTCCAGACTTTGGTCTCAGGATTCGTGTTGACGTTAACATTACCCTTCAGGCACATGTCACGTGCTACCAGCCTGGTGTGTTGACGAAGCTGGTTTATGCGGGACGTTGTTTTGTGGGGGAACGTTCTGCAAGCCATGTGGCATAATAAAATGTTGAGACCTTTGAAGAAGTGCCATCCAAACCGCAGGGAAGAAGTTTTTTCTCTTTTGACTGATTTTCTGTCAGCTGCTCAGCCACTGTCCAAAGTGAAGACCACAAATTTGTGCTTAAGTCGGTATATAAAACAAATTTACCCCCATAATATGCGGTTTTAGAGCCTTATTCTGTTTCCACTTTCTCTTGCCAGCCGCTTTCTATGCCTGCAGCAATTCGCGTGATTCATCACGCGCAAACACTTGCTCTTTCTCCAAACCACACATAATCATTTTTCTTAATTGTGACACTTTTATCCCCTAGTCATAAATCTTATAATGTTAGCTAACTATCAATCGGTCTCGATAAGTTTTAACTGAGCAATTTGATTTGTTTTAGGGACGAGTTTGGATCAACGGAGCACCTTGCAGGCTACGAACTGACCGTAATGAACCGGAACATAAACTAACTACCATCATAATTTGGTTGAAGAAAGCAGCCTTGTGTAAAATAAAGGAGTCTATTTTTGTTTATACTAATCGTCGAAGAGTGTGTTGAGGGCCCCGGCATGTGGTTCTTAAACCACGCCGGGGCCACTGCGCTGAATCTAGTCCGATTACGTTACCCTGAGTGCCTGTGAAGATGGAGACCAGAGAGGACGAGGCACAACCGTTTACCAGACAGCTCAACGAAGCGGTGTTGTGTTGACTGATACAGTTGAGTGGACTAGTAAAAGCACAGACGTCTAAGTGGTCACATGGATAGAGCGGGTGGTGGTAGTGGTACATACAGAGGGGTGGATGGGCAGGCGAGCCCACGTGACTGACGCACTAGCCGTGAAAAGGGGGGCGTGTGTGTGTGATGCGAATCAACTTGACTCACTACAAGCGCCCCTCAGGCACAAATGACTAAGTGCAGCTCGGCTGTTTAGATGTGGAGTGTAGGCAGAGAAATACCGGCACGTTATTGTCTCCGATGGGTAGAATGGGAACGCAATTAGCCAACCGACGGACTGGTTGGAATAAATAGGAAATAAGAAAATCAGGTTGATGACATGTTTGCTTGCTAGGTCTCGGATAGCGTGGATTTTACACAAAATCAAATATTTGTCAAAATATTGATAGTTGAACCCAGATTTTTCTGGGGAACGAGTTCTATCTCAACGGAAGTAGGCACAGGCATGAGACAATTTGAGAAACAAGCCTTCTTGTACTGAATTGCCATTTTGAGCTAATTTGAGTGTAAATGTCATGATTCTGCGTAGACGTTGACAGCGTGAAACGGGATGTGATGACAATAAACGTTTCCGGACTTTGGTCTCAAGGTGCGTATTTCTGCATGTCTCACTCATTAGCCAACTGGCATCTTCTCACAGCATATCTTTAATGCTATCTACCTTGAGATGTCTATACGTAAATAGTCTTTTAAATTAACAACGCCTATGTTCCCAATTTACAATTATCAATGTCTGCCAATCGAAACGTTAGAGGGTTTAAGCTAAATGGGAAGAAGCACAACCCTGTTATTATAATTTCGCTCGGGAATGTTAACGAAAAGAAGTCTTTAATTAACTGCAATGCTCATATTTAGACTGTGGGTAATTTTGCACTGGTGCTTCAGACAACGGTCCAAACGGCCTGGGATATGGAAATGCACGTTTTTGTCCAAATTGTGGCAGATGATCTTTGTGCTCGCAAGGAGTCACAGCATCTCTCGGTAGCGATACACCAGCATAAAAGTATTTGGAGAATTGGGAGGCAATCATCCAATTACGAAAATGGTCCTCAGGTCACATAAGCCAAATTCGGGCATTGTGAAAGCACGGGAGAGAGTTGACTGAAATGCTGTTTTCCAAACAGAGGTGTACAGAAATAGGGTCACTCATTGTTAACAGATGAGAGGGTTGTGAAAAATTCGACGGATATCACCAATCAATGGCGTCAAAAATGAAGTGGTTTTATCACTTTGGGAAAACCAAATGTGCAGTAGCCGGATTTCATCACGTCGGGGTCACTAAATGTAGTGACTAGAGGGCTTAGCACTACCTTACAAACCTCTAGTTAACAGCCCGTAGCTACCCGAGGATAGGAAAAAGGAGGCGACAGAGAACACGACCGTTTATTAGAGTCGAAC